GTTGATAAGATTAAAACAAATACATAAATGAAAGAGAATGATTTGTCGAGCGATTTGAGCAACCATCATTTAAACTAGTATGAGGGATATGTGTATAGATTGTAACACACACTTCAGCATACATGATCATTCCGATATGATAATAATACTACAAATATGTAGAAATATTGTTACTTTTCAAGTGAAGGCCTTGACAAAAACGTAAACAGACTTCAGTGTAGGTAATTTGCTATAGTCTTATACATAATTTTGCGCTGAGCATTCCTAGTAGTCATACGATAATTAAGAAATGATGATTGTGAAAGCTGAAAATAAAGTTGGGCGAAACAATTGTTCTGTCAAATCGAATATATTTGATTTAATAATTAATGATAAGAAACTATGACCTCTTGAATTCACTACCATCGTAATGAACGATAAAACAATGCATCATTATTTAGCTCAACGATTCTGTATATTGTAACTACCACTAGTCAGTTTGAGAATGTTAAGTATCTTTTAACTGTTCACAGACTTACAGTATTCTTTAATCATTTTAAGGACAATGATTAAGGCTGTTGCTCCATATATATAGTCATTTATCAAAATAGATGGGATCTTAGTTGCACATTGCTGAGGATCCCAATACTAAAACAAAATGACCGTTCAATGTGTAGTGACTCACATTTATCACGAGAACACGACTGGTTTAATAGAAACAATTATTATTATAACCAACTGTACCAGTGCTTGTTTTAATGTGCTTTTGTTTGACTGTGCTAATGACAGCTATATTTTGCTTCCGTTCTTTTACTTACACTTTGATTGTGACTTCGCGCGAATTCGGTTACGTTCTGTAACCAAGCTTGTATTCTGACACGATCTCGGTATCCTTGCAATGCCACGAGATCGCCAGCGAATATATCTCGATTTGGTCCATTAACTGTCTTCTGATATTTGGCTTCTCGGGGATTGTATGGATTTATTTGGTTACGTCCAACCTTCGCCTTCTGATTAACTTGGCACGTGTTTTTTGGTAACGGTGTTCATAGTTAATCCCAACTCGACACCACGCTGCAAATGCTTCCAAATTTTCAGTGGTGGTTCAACATCGATCAATTGATAATCTCAATCAAAACCTTAAAAATCTGCACAACCCTATACTGTTATGTAACATTTAGATAAGAGTTTGAGTAAACTGTTTTTAAATACGATATATTTTGCATAGATTAAATTGAAAACACACTTGAAACTTTAAATGTCTGTTAGATATTCGAATAAACAAAAAAACAATGATAATGAATGTATTGAAGTAACAAATTGTTGACAAATCAATAATTCTTTTCGATGAGCACATTTTATCTTCTATATGTCATGGCCTCTTATAAACTTCAGAAATTATCCGAATCTACAAAAAGATGATGAACGAAAATTATTCATTCAAACATTTTAATATTTTACACAATTGTATATGTAATGCGATTGTCATTACTGAAGGCATTCATTAAATTTGGAACATTTCAATGAACAATATCAATCTGCTTTATCACAATTCATCGATAGATGTCAGTAAACGTCCAAATAATACATTATAAAGACTTTTATTAATGAACAGTCAAACTATTGGGTTATTTATCTCAGACTCAGACTCTTAAGTGAATGTCGAAATTTCTGAACTATGTAATCTCTTAAATTATGAGATCAAAATTGCTTCATATCTTCCTTTCTACGAACTAACTCTTTCCACCCGTACTATATTGTTATATGCGATCTTTCTTTTCTATATTACCACCGCTGAATTAACTACTTCTATGAATCCGGTGTTCATCTTGTTGTGTTAATGAGGTATGGCAACTTGAACCGATGCATATATGTGTCTGGTCTAATGTTCTAGCTGACTGAATGACTGACTGATTCCTTCATAGCTTGGATAAGAATAACACCTCTCTCATATCATACTAAATGTTAGTGGAAACAATCTTGTATTACTTCTCAAAAACTGATCAGAGACAGAATGTGAAACTAATTTATTTGGTTGAAGCATATTTTTAATTAAAACAAATGAAACTTATATTTTGTTGAAATTCAGATTTAGAAATACTTATATCAATGGAATTATATATGTTGTCATATTTTTATGTTCACCTATTTCATTACGCCTGTTAGCATTGGAGGAGGAGCATAAATCACTCATGGGTATTCTCTATCCAGCTATGTCTTGAACAATGCATTCCACTACTTTCCAGTTCCTATTCATCCTGCTAATGTCTGCTTCGCATTCTCGACACAGTAAGTGATTGAGTCTCTCACTTATATGTTCCTCTTCAAGATTCCATGTTACCACTGGCCTTGTGACGCAGTCTGATGATTTCCTTGATCTATACGCAATTCACTTTCATCATCTTTCCATAAATTCTTCTCCATCTAGTAGCTGGTTCGTTCTCTTACACATTAGGTTGTTGCTGATGGTATTTGTTCAATGGCGATTGAGCATCATGTGTAGATAATTTTTTAGAAATACTTGTATCAATTTTATAATGATCGTAGTAGTTCTCGGACAGTCCTAACAGTTGTTTTGAGTTCCACATATTCTTTGATTGTAGGAATGCTACCCTTGCTTTGCTAATCCTCGCGTTTCGGTGTGCATCGGATCCTCCTTGTTCGTCGATGATGCTGTCCGTGTTAAAAACATTGGTAGTTGAACACATATATAACATTAGTCTAAACTAGGTATACTTTAGTGTAAACTATATATATTTATATATATGCATACTCAGAAATAAAATGTTATTATAAACGAACCTTGGTTTCTAATATTTATTCTTTTCACAAACAGCTACCTTACCATTACTTGTTACCATTATCTATAAGGAAATGAATTCAGATTGAGTAAATTGTTTCAGTTAAGGTTAATAAAACAAAATTATCTTCTGGATTTGTGTAATGAGTCTTTAAATATGAATACATTGTTCACTACAACTCTTAATAAACTCAAGGCGGAAACTAGCAAACTCTTACAGTCATTAAAAGCTAAGCTAGGATCGTCCTTATGAATTAGGTTATATCCAAAGAGTTGTAACCCACGCAGATTTTATGGACTACCAAAGATCCACAAGAATAATACTCCACTAAGACCAGTGGTAGACTATGCAAATTCACCGACTTACAATCTGGCTAATATTTAGCTAAGATTCTCAAACCATATGAAAAACGGATTAATCATAGAATTAAAAACTCTGTGGAATTCAAGAATTTAATTGATACCATCGTTATAGAAGAAGACGAAATAATGGAAAGTTTTGATGTATCTTCCTTATTCACTAATGTACCTATCAGTCGAGTTATGGATATTATCAATGATTGTTTAGAATCTGATTTAGATTTGAATTTACGATGCCCATTAAATCCATCAGAGGTTATAAAATGCTTAGAATTATGTTTAAGATCTACCTTATTCATATTTCGAGGTCAACTTTACAGACAGAAAGAGGGTATAGCAATGGACTCACCAGTTTATCCGATAGTAGCGAATTTATTCATGCATCCCCTAGAAACTAATGCAGTTTCTCACACATACATACATACCTACACACTCACACACATACGATTTGTTACTCAGTTAAGTATTTCCACGTAGTTGAATTCATCACATGATTTGTAGTTAACTGACTCATTTTATCCTATTTTACAAAAAATCAACATCCAAATATGATTGGTTTAACACAGTATAATCCTGATTGTTAAAAGCTATATATTTCTTTGATAATTTTGATTTTGATTATTACCCTGATGTGAAGTCCAGACAAGTTAGCTGTACGAAACGTTGGAATTAGTTAAATTTCAATCGCTAAGAATATTTCAAATATAATTTTCACATATAATGACTTCTCTATACTCGGCGCTTAATTACTGTCAAACTATTCGTTCTAATCTTGACGAATAGTCGTATAAATTGTTTACTATTACTCTTTTATATATGGAAGTTTTATTAAGATAATGATAATTATCATTATATTACTCTAATTGATTATTTTATACCATCCGCTAATGTTTTTTTTATTGAGAGACAAAACTAAAAAGGAAACAAGCCATATGATATTGCTGGCCTTATTTGTTTCACTATAAAGAAGAGTGAAGAACAAAGATTTGTACGAAAGAACATGAATTTGTATAAGTTTTGTCAAGTTCTCATCAGTTGCTCACAAAGTATGATAATTAGTAATCTGTGGGGCCCTTTATTTAGACGTCCGTTGCTCCGCACGATGTCATCAATGGCTCACTACTTAACTGGCCCTATATCTGACTCTAATTTGATCGTTTGGATGATTGTTGTCAAAATATACATAATCGCAAACCTCGTATATATCTATTGACTTAAATCGCATCAGCGAATAACGGGATTTTCGAATACATATATTTTGTACAATCATTGATCTGAACAGATATTCAGGGAATCTCAGCGAATGAGACGAGGAAGACAGAGCGAAGCAAAACGACGCTCAGTGAAAAAGGCATGTTAGCCAACTCTATTTAATGAAGTGTTATTCAATGTTTATGTTCACACAAAACTGATTACTGACATTTGATGATGATCAGCCAAATGTCTTCAATTCTCCCGTAACAGTCATGTCAAATTATTTGAGACTGTTCAAGTTTCGGAAAATGTTTTTAGACATAATCAGAATCGATTATTAGTTTGAAGAAACTCAGTCAGATTACTCTGGGGACAAAGCTCACAATTTTCATCCTTATTATGGGTTTACACCATCGGTTATGTAACTTCGATCATTTGATATAGTCTAGGCCCTTAGGCTTTAAATATATATTCATAAAGTTTATCAGTGTATGCTAATGTATCATCAATGAAGGTAATCGAAAATTAACTGAAATCTGTATCTATTCCCCTTTTTGTGTTTTATGGGCATATATAAATTTACACTATTTACCTTTCAACAAACATCTTACATAAAGAACAGTATCATAATGTTTACGCCAATAATATCTATATAAACTATGGTAACTTACATCAAGTACTGGGCAATAGTCATATCTGTCCAAACCCCATAATATTTTCTTTCGTATACCGATACATTGAATGAGTTATCCATATACTGGAATTCAGGATTTATCTCACCTTCACGTTTATACAGCGTACAATATGCTTGTGCATTTTGAGAACGCAAACATTTCATTTCATTAGGTTTATCACAAAACGGCTGGATGTCTTGTCCTCTGGAAAACGAAAAATCTTATTTGACATTAAAATAAAAGACTTCTCAAAAAAAATTGGTGAACTTAACAATTATTGAGTAATTTTATACAGATGTCTTTTAGCGTCTTTTTAGCAAGGTTGATTCCGACGGATTATGGTTGTTGACCAGATATCCAACACTCTTACTTCACCCAGTCATGAGACAGGCAGTAAACCTAGAAGAGATACGGATGGACAAGAAGGTGAAGATGCCTTAGAAGCGCTAGAAACGTTTACGTAACTGTAAAGCACCGTCGGTGAACATGAAGGATCCAATGCACACCGAAAGGCAAACATTAACTAAACAAGCATCGCATCCTCACAACTGAAGAACATATGGAATTCAAAACAACTATCAACTAATAGCAAATTCGCAATCTTCAATACGAACGTCAAGACTGTTCTACTGTACGAAACTGAAATCTGGAGAACTACTACGATCGTTATCAAATCGATACGAGTGTTTCCAAACAAATATCTACACAAGATACTCAATCAACATTGAACACATACCATCAGTAACAACCTACTGTGTGAGAGAAGGAACCAGTTACCAGATGAAGAAGAAATTAGGAAAATATGATGGAAGTGGATAGGATGTGGATTGTGGAAATCAAACTGCATCACGAAACAAGCGCCGAATTGTAATCGTGAAGAGAGATGAAAAAAGTTGGAGACCCGTTAACACAAAATGTAGGGTATTGAAAGTATACATGTCACAGAAATGCAGAAATAAAATAAATATACCGAAACTCTTAATATAATAACGTATTATGTCAGGAATCGGAAGCAAACATGAAGAAGATGAATAGGAACTGGAAAGAGATGGTCATAGACGTATGTAAGTACGTAATTAAGTATTTTAGCACGTAAGTAAGTAAGACGTCTTTTATATAGGTTAATATCCACTGACTGCAATATCTAATATTACAGCTGTCAGTTTAAAATTTACCAAATTCTTTTGGGTAGTCACATACTACTTATAAAATTTTCAAAAACGACACAATAATAAATTGTGTAAAAAACAAACGAAAAATTAAAAAAAAAAGATTTTCTTTTCGAGTTACCTTCTTTTTCTATTTTTAATAAATTCATAACAGCTTTTCATTACAAAATCACAACCTAAACCTTTTCCCCAATTGAATTCAGTGGCCATAGTATAGTCGACATCATAAAAGCTTAAATAAAATATAATTGAAATAGAAATCAATCAAATGATGATGAAGTAGAGGTTTTGCATACAAGTTATTTTTGTATTTTTAACTCCATTTATTTGTTTATTTATTCATTATTTGTTGTGTTTTTTTTTCGTTGTACCATTTTATATTCAATAAATAATATGACAGTTTCATTAAGACCGTTAGGTCCTGAATTCGAATGCACACTGTTGAGGAGTCCCATATTAGGACGAAACGACCGTCCAGTGTTTCCAGATTTTGTTATAGTGGTCTAGCTTTAATTGATTTATGAATTCAATTATTCAATTATCATTTTATTGTTATAGTTTACATCCTTATAGTTAACTAATGATTCACTGTCTCGTTGTGAATATCAGTTCATTCTCATTTCTAATCATATTATTCATCATTTCTTAAGAATTGATGAAGCTAATATGAAGCTTCAAAATGCGTTAAACTCGTTTTATCCTGGCAAACAGTTTAGCGAAATTGTTCTGTACTTTTTTATTATTTCATAATCAGTTATGATTTAGAAAGTAATGCATTCGAAAATGTAGATGTGAAGGCGCGGATCGGCAAAGCAAGAGCAGCATATTTACAACTTAGAAACATCTACAACTCAAAACAACTGTCAACCAACACAAAGGTCAGGATTTTCAATACAAATGTCAATACAGTTCTACTGTATGGGACAGAAACCTGGAGAACTACGAAAGCCATCATCCAAAAGATACAGGTGTTTATTAACAGTTGTCTACGCAAAATACTTCAGATCCATTGGCCGGACACTACTGGCAAGAACCTACTGTGGGAGAGAACAAACCAGATCCCAGCGGAGGAAGAAATCAGGAAGAAGCGCTGGAAGTGGATAGGACACACGTTGAGGAAAGCACTCAACTGCGTCACAAGACAAGCTCTCACATGGAATCCTGAAGGTCAAAGGAGGAATGAAGACCAAAGAACACATTACACCGGGAAATGGAGATAGACATGAGAAAAATGAACAAGAATTTGATGGAACTAGAAGAGAAGGCCCAGGACAGAGTGGGTTGGAGAATGCTGGTCGTTGGCCTATGCTCCATTAGGAGTAACAGGCGTAAGTAAGTTAGTAAGCATTCGAAAATTCATATTGATTTTGGTTGGATAACTGTTAAAAACAGGAAACATTGAACAGTTGTTTCGTTCACGTATGAAGCTCCTTAGAGATCGGAATATATGACTCCACGAAAGATCAATATCAGAGCCTTAATGCTTCACGGTGATCGTATTACCTTCAGACCGATGCGTTAGCACCTAATGATTAGGATTCATGACTTCAGCTAATTCGTAGCATTAAGAGAATTTATTCTTTTACAGTTCGTTGGTATCTACCAAACTCACAACATAAGTGAATTCCACTGAACAAATCTGGTGGAACATTAAATGAATACTTCTAAATAGTTCCTCACCAGAGCAAAACGGCCATTCATTTTTTCTCCTTATTTTATTGGTTGTCCAAATCAAGACATTTTGTGATACAGAAACATCCATTTATGCTCATAATGCTTGTATTGTAAGACAATATCGAAGCAATCCGCACAGGATGTACGTTTTTTAATAAGTGAATGATCATTTGCAGCCCTAACGCATCAATGGGAATATTCAAACAACCAATACAATATGAATTGAATTTATTATAATTAATAATAAATATCATATTGAACTATGTATAACTCACTTTGTGTCTTTGAAATAAGCCAGAATTATTCTGGAAACAGACTGTGTAGCCAATGTGCTAGGTGTCATCAGATCATCCTGAAAAACAAGTTGTTTTTCAGAACGTTAAGATTATATTAATGGTAATTAGTATCTTAAAATCACATTGATAGTTAAACTGCAATTATTGTGAATGCTTCATTCTGTTGTCATAGGCATTTTGACATATTCTTCGTCACCTCATTTATAATGTTTGTTAAGGGTCTCAGAATTATATGCCAAGAACCTGAAGTCAGGTATCGATCTGTCATCAATCCAATATTAAAGTAATGCTTTAGTCAACTATGATTAGCTTTGTGAGCATGGCGTCTCGGTGGCTTTCATATCTAAAAATACTTGCTAACACTGGGAACATTTGAAAAATAAATACACATGGTCAGTCTGTAAAAGCGTTTAAAAGAATATTGTAATTTCACTGAGTTGACAACAATAAATTGACCACCTTCACGAGAAGTGACAGGAGTAAGTAAGTAAGTGAGTAAGTAAGTAAGTGAGCAAGTAAGTAAGTAAGTAAGTGAGTAAGTAAGTAAGTGAGCAAATAAGTAAGTGAGTAAGTAAGTAAGTGAGTAAGTAAGTAAGTAAGTAAGTGAGTAAGTAAGTGAGTAAGTAAGTAAGTTAGTAAGTTAGGACACGTCATAAATCCAACTACTTTTCGATTTCTTATTTCTACCATTTATTAAAAAGAATAATCATCGGAAGAGAAACCAAGTTAAATTAGCAATATTTTTCACTGGCATTACAGTTGTCCAATTATACTGAATTCAAATAAATTGGCTCGAATAGCATAACCCAATCCTAAGATTTCTACACAGACAAGCGAACCATACGCAACCTACAACATCTACGAACGAGCTCAATACAACCTACTAGAGTAGATGCAGACAATTCTTCCGTCTAATCTAACGCAGTCAAGAAATGAAATGCACCATAACAAATATCATAACTTCAATGATATTTTAACTATATACTATATCCAACTAGGCAGAGACCTGGGTTTAATACATTCTGAAAAATCTTTCAAATAAATGATCGACTGACAAATTTCAACCATGAAATAACCGGATAAAGAGGAACATTGATGAACATTTTGCGATTTAGTCAGTTCACACGATCTTTTCTTCATGTTCCAAATACCTATTAACTACTTTTCACACCTTTCAAAATCAGGCATTACCATGAAATTTTTAGCTTCATAAATCTGAGTTTCAGAGAAAACGTACGACCATAATTTCCCAATAGTAGCTACATTTTACTTAACACGTAGAAACAGGGTGACATAATTGGTTAGCGGATTTTCGTCAGGACTTATTAAACGTGATGCCTTTAGTTCATCCCAAATCATGAAATGATCTACTTTCGTCAAAACAACTGATCATGGTGGCTAGAACAACAATGAGCAATTCACCCAACATGGTATCTGAAACAATCTGCAACATAAACAACGAACAAAAGTTTTATTTTAATATTAAGTACAACATTTAAAATCACCCCAAGTTGCTGATTTTGTGTAAACAATGAACAAGTCCTCATCGCTAGTACATATACTCAAAAACGTGTTCTGTTCTTATGAGCCATCAAGCTATAAGATGAATGGAGAAGTTTCCCATCATATCTACACTTACCATGAAATTGCTACATCAGAATTGTTTGAAAAATGAAACCCGTTGCATTTTTCGCGTGTAATGTGAAAATTCTACTGTACTGATGTTTCATGATAATCAAAGATATTTCGAAAACAGAACAACCTTGTATTTTTGTACTTCTTACCATGAATTACTACCAAATTGTCTTACTGTCAACATATCGAACGAATGGATGTATCAGAATTAGTCACCATGCATTGATTTTCAGAGACCGGATCCTTTCTTCTGTTTAAACGATGAGTGGAAACCGGATGTTAGATTTTGATTCCAAACTAGGCATGTGATTATTTAGTTAAATTTTAAATTCAAATCACCCTTTAACCAAAATGTGCTAAACAAACAATGTGATTGTGTCATGATAGAAAGTTACTTACTCCTGCGATTCTATGACTAAAGTGACTGTTTTGTAATTCGATTCCCTCAAGTTGATTGCATCCAAAATGTCTTCTCGCTTCTCTCTTTAGTGAAAAAACAAAAAAAGCAAACAGCAAAATTTATTGATACTACTCTAACCAACATCAAAACGGTACAAGTATTTCTAAGCAATTACCTACTCAGTGACCATGGAGCACACACCGTCAACAACAAACTACTGTGAGAGAGAATAAACTAGCTACCAGATGAAGAAGAAATTAGGAAAATATGGTGAGTGTGGTGGATAGCATATTCATCACGGAAATCATCAGACTGCACCACGAGGCAAGTAGTAACATGGAATCCTGAAGAGGAACGGAACAGAGCCAGACCCAATAACTTATTGTGTCAGGGATAGGAAGCAGTCATCAAAAGAATAAATAGCAACTGGAAAGAAGTGGAATGGATTGTTCAGGACAGTATTGAATGGAGAATGCTTGTGGGTATGCTGTGCTCATACATGAGGGGTAATGGGAGTAAGTAACAAAGTATGAAGTACACCTTATTTTTGCTGGAAAGTCCTATGAGCAATCTAGTCAATCGCCTAAGTACACATGTATGTTAATAATTAATAAAAGTTCCCACAGATTTTGTTTTCTCAAAATAATTAAAATTGAAATTTATCAATAATTCTTGAGTTGCACAAGTTAATAGTCGTTGTCTTTCGATCACCGATGCATTCAGCAGAATTTATCCATCAGCAAATACAATATTTAAACAACAGTAACTTGGGCCAATTTATTTAATAGAGGAAATGATAATGAGCTTTGCATCAAACATTAATCATAATGAGTAATTATTTATTTTCTGTTCCTATTACGTCTGATACCTTTCATGGAGGAACAAAGGACAACCACAAGCACGATCCGTCGAACTTTGTCAACAACATTCGTTTCCAGTTGCTATTCATCCTTCTATTTTCTGCTCCCGATTCTTGACACAATGCGTTGATGGTTTTCTCGCTTTTCCATTCCCCTTCACGATTACAAGTTGGTGCTTGTTTCGTGATGCAGTTTGATTTCCACAATCCACGTCTATCCACTTCCATCATATTTTCCTAATTTACCCTTCATCTGGTAGTTGGTTTCTTCTCTCAGACAGTAGGTTGTTACTGATGGTATGTGTTCAATGGTGATTGAGTATCTTGTGCAGATAATTGTTTAGAAACACTTGTGTCGATTTGATAATGATCTCAGTAGTTCTCCAGATTACTGTTTCGTATAGTAGAACAGTCTTGACGTTTGTATTGATGATTTTGAATTCGCTATTAGTTGACAGTTGTTTTGAGTTACATATGTTATTCAATTGTAAGGATGCGATGCTTGTTTAGTTAATGTTTGCCTTTCATTGTGCATTGGATCCTCCTTGTTCGTCGATGGTGCTGTCCAGATAAGTGAAGTGTTTCAGATACTTCATCAAGTGTGACTGTGTTGGTGTTCTGCATGTCGTATTTGTAGATGTCGCCATTCACATTTGTTTCGTCTAGTCATTCCATGTCGTTTCATGATATCTTCATAACACATGTTGTCCATTTCTACTTCGACGTTCAGTTCTCCCAGAAGAAAGGTCACGTCTTTTCCCAGCCACTTCGCTATGATTGATTGCAACCTCTCATATAATTGATCTTTTTTGTTGTCGTTGCTATCATTGCTGAGTGCATAACATTGGATAACATTCATTGCTATTCCCTCCTTCTTTGTTTTAATGATCTTTTGACGATTCTGAATCCAGGTGATTCCCATCCTATAAATGCATTTTCTGCTTTTTTGAACAGCACTAGAGCATTTGCCTGAGTGTGCGGAGCATTTTCTTCTTTTTAACCGTAATACAGAAGCATCTCTTCCGAACCTAACATTTGCCGTTTAGCTTGGTTTTGATTTTCTGCAAACTACTGATACTGCAGTGTATGCTATTTTTGTCGCCAAACATAAGTAGTGTGTAACGCCAGTCGTAAGTGGAAATCCTGGCAGCAGAATGTTAAGAAACTCGGGTTGAGGAGAATAGAAGTGAAAATAAAAAGGAATTTCTGATGATTTATTACTGAACTAGTATCTTCTTCTTACAATACATAATTTCAAAATTAAGAGAAACTATGATGCAGTAAATTAGTTTAAATCAAACTAAAAGTCATAAGAATTTTCATAAATCATTTTGAGTAGAGTAATATGTTGTTATTGGTAAGATTAACTTGACATGTAAGCTACAAATTACATTTATCAGGATAATAAGTATTGATACCAACTAGTTCGTTTTCTTGTTTCGTCAAAAACTGTTAAGTAACGTGGGTTTTGTCTAGTGTTGAAATCCAGTATCCCCGTTTCGTCCCATTTTAGGACACATTCATTCTAGTGTTTTCTTGATGGAACTCCAAATCAGTACATGTTGCTCAAAATTCGAAGTGTTATCCACTGAGCTACCGATTCCAGATATCCAGCGGACGAAACATGGGTTTCGCAAGCCACTAATAGTCAGTGGTCAACTATTCTTTAACTTGTGACGTGATGATAATACTGCGTAAGCAACTTAGGATGCATATATGGTGAAAATGCTAACCAACTGCAATCTTAAATGTTAACATCAATGAGGTAAGAATTTTTACAGTTTACAATAAATTTTTTGTAGTTTGCATCCCGAAATAGTTTTAGTTAGACAACTGCTGAAAACCAGGAGCCACTGTGCTGGTATTCCTCCCTTCTATGGAACCCCCCAAGATTATTTCACATCAATAGTACTACGAATTGATTGAAGTTAACCATCAAATAATTGTATGTGAACTCAATGTTGTGAACATATAACAGTCACCATGAATGTGAACGTGGAGAAATCTGAGAAACTATTAAATAAACTATAATTGACCATGCATTATATAAAAAACAGATGATCAATTAAAAGTAGTCCATTGTTATTAGATCTAAATCAAACATTCAGAGATAGGGATTCAATGGCAACATCTTTTATTGAACATTTCATCGAAGTTAAGCACAATGAAGTGAATTCAACAGACCCTTCTAACTTATGTCATGTAAAATAACCAAGCATATGAAACATCATTACTCTGAAATGTATTTCAAAAAATGTGGTTAGAAATTACAATGCATGTTACGATTATTGGCGGTGGTTTGTTTCATCTTTTTTCATAGCCGATGCATTCTTACTTAAAATTAAAGTCTCAACGTATTAAAATAAAGTAATGATATAACTTACAAGCATATTTGGGAGTCTAAGTATTCGTCTAGTTACTCGAAATTCACCTCTAGCTGATAACCATCTCATTGTTATGTTCTGTACAGGTCTTAAGCTTGAATAAAACAGATAATAAATTTGGTTATACATTCTAGCCTTCTAGTCGCATTGTCAATGTAAACTTAACAACACATTATGTTATTTCCCTTAATTAAAAGTTTGCAGAATAATAACATTTACTCTTATTCATTTGCTAAACTACAAAGTTTCGTTTGATGTATGATTCGCCGTAATACGCTTTTATGTTCTAAACGAAACCTTTAGTACTCTATTTTCCTCAACTAATTCCCAGTTTTGGATATAATTGTATTTTCTCAAATGTTTGCACGTTGTGATCATGTTACTCATCTATTTATACATGTCGTTTTTTACACTAATATGAATTAGGAATGGGCATCAGGAATAGTTCGTGTAGTGTTCCAGTTGATTCGTCTTCTTTCTTACGAGCGCACTTGTCAACTAATCAAGTGACAGAATAGTTTTTATCTCTATCTCTCAAGGCTGTTAGTCAGTTCGGACTGACACATTTCCAGCCTCAAGACTAAACTAGATAACCTTTCATGCCAATGTCTTAATCTATATCAAGATAAGTTATATCTTGTATATTACTGGGTAGACAAATCAAGTATGTGACAACCCTGTTACTCTATTTGAAATCTGTTAACACCAGTTTTTGACTGATTAAACATTTCGTGCTGCAATGTTGACATGATGATAGAAGTTATGGAAAATTCATTTGAGAAATTCGAGTAGTAAGTAGAAACAAACTTCAAATTTACTCTCACAAAGGAGATCGTTATTTATTGAAAATGCTCAGCCATAAACCCTATTCTTTACACTTGATTTTCAGTTGCGTTTAGTCATCTTTCATATAAACTGCCATAAAAATGAATCATTCTAATCAAAATGAGTCAAATCGTCACCAACGTTTTTCAAAAGATGAGGAAATTTATTCCCGATGAATTATTTGACATTCTGAACTCCACAGATCAAACATTTTTTATTCACAGTGAAAAAAAAAGTTCACTTGACAATGTAGATTTATTGAGCATTCATCGGTTATCCTAGACATCCAAACTTTCAAAGTACCTATCTCATCATTTTAAATTATAAAATGCTTAAAACGATTTGTCTACAAAGAAGTGTAATACACCAGACAACTATATGTTATCCATTGGTACTTTTCATCAAGAAACTATACTTCTAATAATCATTAATTATTGAATTGAAATATACACACATAGTCTCTTAGAAATATGAACTTTTTCATTGAATCTTTCTTAAATATAGCTAACTTAGTAAATTCTGTGTAAAACACACAAAACAGGAAAACAATAAAATAGCTACTTATCACTTAAATCTGTGCTCGTATGAATTGATCATTTGAGTGAATTGAAGCAACAGATCTAAGCAGGAATAATATACTCCCTAGATTTACGCATCCTCATAGTAAATGCTCTATTGCTATATATATTATTCATATATTTCAATTATTTTCTTAGATTTGGACCTAACATATTCTGCTTTCTTTCATTCATTTGTTTATGTTACTCATTGTCATGTTGTCATAACCCGGCGAGAATAATGAATGGTAACTGTTAAGAGTTGTTTATATTTTATTTATTTTAACACATAGATATTGGTACAGGGAGGCACTAAATACATATGCTCCACACAGATCTCATTTGATATGTAGGAGGGCTGTGATTAAACTATTCATATTCATGTCCTTCTTACTATGAGCTTCATTTTGATCTATGAACTATAATTACACAATATACCATTCTTGAGTTATACCCAGTCTATCAATTACTATCTCCCACATTCACAGCCATTTTGGGCTAAATCTTGTACAAATGCTGTTTCATATTTTATGGTACAATGTGGTCTGTCTGGTTGGCACATTAACCCATTATATTTGAAATATACGATTCATATCTCAGACGCTGAGATTGGTGTTTTGGCCTTAACGGGCAGCTACAAGCAGGAAGCATGACCGATAAAGACTCTAGAATGCTCGTACACGTTTTACGCATCATTGGTCCGACCGATAATTCACTGTCCGCTAATTGACGGTTTCATCACGTTATATATTGATATTTGCACAAACCCACAAGGTATAACACATGAATAACACATAGATCTATTATTCACATTTACTATGAATAATGTTTGGACATAAACCTTTTGAAATTTGAGAGATGGTATATAAAAAATTATATTGAAACCTAAACGAACATTATGAACAATAACTTCTTGAAAGCACATCACAGAAAATTCATCTTTTCATTTCCGATCATTTTTACAAAGTCCATTTTCCACTATGTTTACATTCCAAGATAGTATCAATAGTGTACCAAAACAATGTTGTATGCTTATTCATGGTTATAATAGAAACGAAAAGCCCCCCCCCACAAAAAATCAAAATGATCAAAGAATCGATAAGAAAAACCAAAAGAACTTACTTTCCATTAGGCATCCGATACTGCGGACTTAAATCTGGCAAGTTACCGTAAACAGTCGGAAGGAATCCCTTGCAAAAAAATCAAGAGATGGTCAAAAAAATTCGGTAGCTCGGACTGATTATTTGGGTAGAGTTGTATCCTATGAGCTGGGTAGCTTATTCGTTAAGTTTTTATTTTCCTTCTATAGACAACATCATTTGTATAAGATTCAGATACAGGTAAGCAATTCAAATTTCTTCATATATGGATAAAGTTTGTGATAATAATGTGGTCTTCAAAAAGAAACTGAATGCTTTACAATTAAACCGACCAGCTCAGAGAATCCAGCTAGGACAAGAAGTCACTTAAATAGAGTTTTGTGAACACTCATCTTAATTTTTTTAACCATTATTTAAGATTATATCCCATATTTGAAAGTGTGTTAGAATATCTGATACTTTTCATACTCATACAACCGACGTCTATAGTATCATTTTAGCAGTATGAGGTTGTAGAAATTGTTGAATGTTAGTTTAACTCATGAACCAACCTAATATGGCCACGCAAATTCATGGATTGATTGAAATCAGACATTAACTACATTGGATCCCGGTTCACTGGTCTAGAGGTTAAGAGTTCGTGTGCAAGACCGAAGGCCCTAGGTTCCATTAGCACGTGTGGAGTCGTGAACGCACACTACCGAGGAGCCCCACATTTACACGAAACGGCCTCTCAGTGATTACGGGTTTTAACGGTGGGTTGAACTAGATTGGTTCCTTGATTTCAATCGAATAGTATTACCTGATCCTGACAACCGTGGAACGTACAATTGATTAAAATATGATATTGAAAACGTTTTGAATTCATATAGAATAAAGTAAATATACTGAGGAGGTAAAATAATCCTTAATCATAACAGTTGCATACTATACAAAATGATATTATTTCAACGTGAATTTCTTCACATGTTCAAAGAATGAGCTTACCAATGCATGACATATTTCATGTTTTGTAACATCTTCTAGCTTTTTTTCATTTGCTCCGAGAATAGCATCCTCCATTAAACAGTAATTCACTATACCTAAATTAGGCCTAAATATGAGCGTTAAAATAAATATATTAGCTTTTATTTCAATGTATTCCAAAGTAACGTTCATTTTGTATAACATAATATAAAAGGTGCCTCTAATAAATGTTTATGTTAGAACATCATCATTAAAATTTGGAAAATATGTTGCTTGACTAATCAGTAGAATGCATCTGATAAAACTATAAAAGTTTCGATTGATGAAGAATTAAAACTTTATCGAATCACTACTTTGGTGGTGCTACTGGTGTCAACGGATATAAGTAGTATGTATCACCAGTCGAAAATGAAATGAATGGGCTTGGAAGGTTAAGAAGATCGAAGAGAAGAGGTCAAGAACAGGGAGCGAATGTATGGAACTGAAGAAACATTCAAGTCTGAGACAATTTATAAACATTTTCAAATGCAATATTACTGTATGGTTCTTAGATATTACTAGAAGATTCTGAATATTTATTTTTATTTCTGCATTTCTGTGATATCTCATTCTCATCTGTCTATGGTCATAAACAACTAAATATCAATAATTCTTCGCAAACTAAGGTGAATAGTTTTCCAGAATCAACCTCTTTTGACACTGTTGCAAACTGAGATAGATATTGTACATAATTTACAAGCGTAAACTTAAATAAAAAGCCAAAATTATACAATATCTAAGTTCAGTGCAAATACCACTTAATAAGTAACGAATATGTAAGTATCATCATGCTGCATTCCTTATATACTCAATTACTTATACCTGATACCAGTCATGAAAGAGCATAGTGCACCCATCAGCATTCACCATCCAACCCTGTTCTGAGCAATCCTTTCCACTTCTTTCCAGTTGCTGTCAAATATTTACATGTATACTTTCAGTACCCTACATTTCGTGCTAACGGGTCTCCAACTTTTCCATTCCCCTTCACGATTACAAGTTAGTGCTTGTTTCGTGATGCAGTCTGATTTCCACAATCCATGTTCTATCCACTTCCATCATATTTTCCTAATTTCCTCTTCATCTGGTAGTTGGTTTCGTCTCTCAGACAGTAAGTTGTTACTGATGGTATGTGTTCAATATTGATTGAGTATCTTGTGTAGATAATTGTTTAGAAACACTCGTATCGATTTGACAACGGTCGTAGTAGTTCTCCAGATTTCAGTTTCGTACAGTAGAACAGTCTTGACGTTCGTATTGAAGATTGCGAATTTACTATTAGTTCATAGTTGTTTTGAATTCCATATGTTTTTCAGTTGTGAGGATGCGATGCTTGTTTAGTTAATGTTTGCCTTTCGGTGTGCATTGGATCCTCCTTGTTCGTCTATAGTGCTGTCCAGATAACTGAAATATTTCATATATTCCAGAAGTTGTTCATCAAGTGTGACTGTGTTGGTGTTCTGCGTGTTGTGTTTGTGGATTTCGCATTTTCCCCTGTGTATGTTGAGACCCTACTGATGGAGAGGTTAATAGTACACTAGTTGTCTTCATCTGCGTTTGTTGATGTTTATGGTACGGGAGAGTGAGGTCATCTGTGACAACCAAATCTTCTGATTGATTCCGAGCTGTTCTTTGTAGTCCGTGCTTCCCCTCAGCTTTCGAGGTCTTCATAATCCAGTCAACCACCATAATAAAGAGGAACGGTGAGAGTATTCAGCCCAGTCTGACTCCAGTCATCACTTTGAATGTATCTGTCAGCTATGTTCCATGCACCACTTCACACTCTAGTCCGTCTTATGAATTTCGGATGATGTTGATGAGTATAACAGCCGCGCACTGCATAGTATTAAAGGGGGTCCCACAGTGTTCTCCCATCCATATTGTCGTATGCCTTCTCACAGTCAATGAAGTTGATGTATAGTGACGAGTTCCATTCAATTGATTGTTCAACGATGATCCGTTCTCTTGCAATGCGGTCTGTTCACGACCGATGCTCACAGAGTCCAATCCGTTGATGTCGATGTTGAGCGTCTGCTGAATCTTTCATCATGTAAGGCAACATCATGTTGAAAACATTTCATTATACTGACAATATGTGATGCTTTTGTCAATCGCACAATTGACCAGATGTTCTTTCTTTGGTATCTTGATGATTTGTCTTTCATTCCGGTCCGTAGGCACTTGTTCTTCATCCCAAATTTTCCTGAATGTTGTGTGTAACATGTTTGTAGTTGCTGCTATATGTGACGTTAGTACTTTAGGTGGTAAACTGTCAGGTTGTGCTGCATTACTATTTTTCATTTATTTGATGGTCATCCTAACTTCTTCCTTCGTTGGTGTAGTGACATCTATAGGAAGGTCTGTGAGTGGTGCTTCGATGTTTGATGGTTTCCGTGGGGCTGGTCAACTGAAGTGCTCCTCGATGTACTCTACCCATATGTTCCTCTGTTCTTAAATCTAAGTGGTTAGCTCTCCTTTGTCCTTGACCTATCTCTAGTTCACTATATTCTCCTAACAATTTCTCCGTCGTGTCATATAGTTATCTAATATTTCCTTCTGTTTCAGCTTTCGCCGCCGTCATTGATACGTCTTCTACGTATTTCAGATTTCCGGCTCTGATGCTCCTCTTCACTTGCTTCTCTACTTCTGAGTATTCAGCTTGTGCCTTGACTTTCTCTTCTCGTGTTTGACTGTTCTTAATTGTTGTCTTCTTGTTCTTCCCTTCCTAAATCTCGTTCAGGGTTTCGATGGAGATTCACTCCTTGTGACTATTGGTACTTGTTACAGTTCGGAGCCTCCTGAAACGTTGGAGTTATTGCTTCTTTGAAACCTTTCTAGTTGCTTTCCATCGTATTTTCTTCTTCTTCAATAGGTTCTGTAAGGTTTGCTACCTGTTGTTAAGAGTTATCTTGAATTGATTGGGTTTGTCAGTATCTCGTAGGAAGACTGTTTTGAACATTTGTAATTGCGGGGCCCGTTATCTTGTTGTCATTTAGATCGAACGATGTTTGTTGACGGGCTCTCCACTTTAGTGGCCCGTGGATCTGACTCCAATTAGATCGTAAGAATGTTTGTTTTCGCCTATCTTCGTATACAATCATCGACTCCAGTCGCATTCGCCATTAGCGGAATTAAATAGTTCAAATAACGAGATTGGATTTTTGAACACATATATTTTGTATATGCAGCGAATGGAATAGAGACAAGCGAAACGACACGCAGTGAAGATGGCAGGTGATCCAAATCCCATTTAACCAAGCGTTAACGAATATTTATAGTCACATGAAAATAAGTTACAGACATGTGATGAGTAATGGGATAAGAAGTGTACACACACCTACGCGCTCATATAAAAACAGTTGAGATTGATAAGCGAATAATTAACAAGGTCAAAATGTGACTCAAGTAGAATGAATAGAATGGGCTGTCCGAAAACTAGAATAAGGTATATGGGCTTAACACAATAACAGACGCTACACAATGCTGTTCCCCCAGTTGTCCATTAATTATTTTGTTTCAGTTTGATCTGGAAATCACCACATGGTGGTGTGAAGCTATGTCAATTTCACTTCTAGTTCCCTAATCTTCCATGACTTTGTGGACTTTTATATCGATACATTGTCCGGATATTCCATGTACCTATACAAACTGTTGCTGTGGTTGTCAGAGGTGTCATCAGCCTCATGAACACAGAAGAATCTCGGCATTCATCATCAGGCATCTAAATTCTCTTGAGTAAAGACCCGTCAACTCCCTGGACGGATAATACATGGTTCGATTTGTTTACTCTAGTTGGTGTTTTTTAGCAAGGTTTGGTTCTACGGTGTGAGGTGGCGAACCTTTAAATCCAACCCTCCTCGTTTTTGTTGGTTTGAAATCGGCAGTAACTCTAGAAGGGCATAATTGTACAATAATTTGAGTTGAAATATCCACATCTCTTCATGTTTGCCAGCTGATAGGCCAACGAATTACGCATAAAAAAGATTCACAGAATCAAATAACATAGCAAATGAAACTAATTTACCTCGAAGTATCTGGATCATGACTACAGTATGAAGCCCAAGCAAGTACACTAGCGCCACACGCCACATAATTCCAACTCACAAGTAATACAAATTCATTTGGAGCTATTCCTTCTCCTTCAGTAAAAATCTCTTCAGTCTCACCATATTTTCGGGCGTGACATGCCTATACATATTAAAATATGACGAAAAGTGTAATTATTTCATCAAATCAGTATGAAAACTTTGGTTATCAAGTTCAACGAAACGTTTGTAAAACGTAAATGTAAATAGGTAACTACAAATGTCCAAAATTACTCAATAGAAACCATTTATTTATACGATGCTTTGGTCTGGGACTTGCTTAAACAAAGACATTTATTTATGGACGAATAGACAATTAGAATTACCTAAAACTAGAAAATGCTAGACTTCCGCTCTGTGTCTGCTGTAAAAGTTTCTCAAATTAGCTCTCACTATTACAGACAAGATTGGCTTTCGGACTAAACCATGAGTACATTGTTATCGATTAGACGCTGTGCTACTCACATATTCTAGCGTTAATTATCAAAAAGTGGATTTGTACATATCTTCTGTCCTTGTTTCGCATCACCTATTTTTTCTCTTCACGGTTATTATTCAGTGAATGGAATGTAGTGGATTATCTTCGAGATAATTCCTAGGGTTTCGTATTATCAATAGTCCAATAACTATTATCAAATTGTTCCCAACTTTGTACACTTTTCATGACACAATACAAAGCCACAAGCACACAAAGCGAATTCGAACAGAAGTGCAAAAGCTGACAAGTGAGCAAATACAGACATGAAGCAAGAATAAAATAAATTGATATTATTCAGGCGTATAAATACATTAAGTGAAATGATTCATTGAGCGATTTGGGCAACTAGCATTAAAACTTGTATGAGGGCTACGTATGTTGGTTGTCACATGTAATTGAGCACACGTGATCATGCCGATATGATACGAGGATGTAGACAACGTATTAGTGTTTGAATGAGACTGTCTGTGGAGTAAGTTAACTGAAGCGCTTGACAAAACTAAATGTAAACGTATTTAAATGTAGGTGAGGTGGTATTAGGATACTGAACATTTTCCACAGTGGATTTTGGAACGCAAACGTTGTATGCATACTTTGAAAGAAAACACATCGGCCAGTGATTAGAGAACTGGATTGAATTTGAGAAATAAATGGGAAGGGTGTGAAATTGAGCTTCTTTATAATCTTGTCTCTCGGATCCGCAGATTAATTGAAACGAAGCTCTAATAGTCCAAAACTCTGACTGGAGTCCCTCCGGGGGCTACTGCCGGTCCCAAGCCCGGATAAAGGAGGAGGGTTGGGCATGGGGTTAGCGTCCCCATCCCGTAGAAAACTAACTCGCTAAAAAAACGCTAACCAGAAAAAATTATTCAAACCTTTTAAACTCTGCCCTGGGAGTCAGAAGGTCTTCATTTAGAAGAATTATGACGCCTCATGATGAAAGCCGAATTCCTTCGGAAGTTACGAGGCCGATGCCCCTTCTGACAACCAGAGCAACCATTTATTTAGGTACATGGAATGTTCGTACAATGTGGGACACCGGGAGAGCCTTCCAAATTGCTGCAGAAATGAGAAGATACAACCTAGAGGTACTTGGGATCAGTGAAACACATTGGACACAAGTTGGACAACAACGACTAACTTCAGGAGAGCTCCTGTTATACTCCGGCCATGAAGAAGAAAATGCACCACATACACAAGGAGTTGCATTGATGCTGTCCAAACAAGCGCAAAATGCACTTATAGGATGGGAATCTCATGGACCAAGGATCATCAAAGCCTCGTTCAAAACAAAGAAAGAGGGCATTTCAATGAACATCATCCAATGCTATGCGCCTACCAACGACTACAATGAAGACGCTAAAGATCAATTCTACAATAGGCTGCAGTCAATCGTCGAGAAGTGCCCAACAAAGGACCTGACCATTCTGATGGGAGATTTCAACGCCAAGGTTGGAACGGACAACACTGGATATGAAGACATCATGGGACGACACGGACTGGGAGAAAGAAACGAAAATGGTGAGAGATTTGCAAACCTATGTGCCTTCAATAAGCTGGTCATAGGCGGCACCATATTCCCACATAAACGCATACACAAAACCACATGGACTTCACCGGATCACACTACGCAAAACCAAATCGACCATATTTGCATCAACAAAACGTTCAGGAGGACTATAGAGGACGTGAGAACCAAGAGAGGAGCTGATATAGCATCAGATCATCACTTGCTGGTCGCCAAGATGAAATTGAAACTCAAGAAGCACTGGACAACGGGGCGGACAATATCACAAAAGTTCAATACGGCCTTTCTTCAGGATACTAACAAACTCAACAAATTCAAGATAGTCCTCAGCAACAAGTTCCAGGCCTTTCATGATCTACTCAATGGAGAAGGAACTACTGTGGAGAGCAACTGGAAGGGGATCAAAGAGGCAATCACTTCAACATGTCATGAGGTCCTGGGTCACAAGAAGCACCATCACAAGGAATGGATCACTGTTGATACACTGGATAAGATTCAAGAAAGAAGGAACAAGAAGGCAGCAATCAATACCAGCCGAACAAGAGCAGAAAAAGCCAAGGCACAAGCTGAATACACAGAAGTAAACAAACAAGTGAAGAGGAGCATCAGAACCGACAAACGTAAATATGTGGAAGATTTAGCAACGACGGCGGAAAAGGCTGCAAGAGAAGGAAACATGAGACAATTGTATGACACGACAAAGAAACTCTCTGGAAATCGCCGCAAACCAGAACGACCAGTGAAAAGCAAGGAAGGCGAGGTAATCACCAACATTGAAGAGCAACAAAACAGGTGGGTAGAACACTTCAAAGAACTCTTGAATCGACCAGCTCCACTGAACCCACCCAACATCGAAGCAGCACCCACGGACCTCCCAATCAATGTTGGCCCACCAACAATTGAAGAAATCAGCATGGCCATCAGACAAATCAAGAGTGGCAAAGCAGCAGGACCGGACAACATTCCAGCAGAGGCACTAAAAGCAGACGTAGCGGCAACTGCAAGGATACTCCACATTCTCTTCAATAAGATTTGGGATGAGGAACAAGTACCAAAAGACTGGAAAGAAGGACTTCTGATCAAAATACCGAAGAAAGGCGATCTCAGCAACTGTGATAACTACAGGGGCATCACTCTTCTCTCAATACCGGGAAAAGTCTTCAACAGGGTATTGTTAAACAGGATGAAGGACTGCGTAGACGCCCAACTTCGTGACCAACAGGCAGGATTCCGTAAGGATAGATCGTGTACAGACCAAATCGCAACTCTACGGATCATTGTGGAACAATCAATTGAATGGAATTCATCACTCTACATCAACTTCATTGACTACGAAAAGGCATTTGATAGCGTGGACAGAACAACACTATGGAAACTTCTTCGACACTACGGCGTGCCTCAGAAGATAGTCAATATCATACAGAACTCATATGATGGATTACACTGCAAAATTGTGCATGGAGGACAGTTGACAAAGTCGTTCGAAGTGAAGACCGGTGTTAGGCAAGGTTGCTTACTCTCACCCTTTCTCTTTCTCCTGGTGATCGACTGGATCATGAAGACGTCAACGTCTGAAGGGAAGCGCGGGATACAATGGACATCTAGGATGCAGTTGGACGATCTAGACTTCGCAGATGATCTGGCCCTTCTATCCCAAACGCAACAACAGATGCAGGAGAAGACGAACAGTGTGGCAGCAGCCTCAGCAGCAGTAGGTCTCAATATACACAAAGGGAAAAGCAGGATTCTCCGATACAACACAGAATGCACCAATCCAATCACAATTGACGGAGAAGATTTGGAAGATGTAAAAACCTTTACACATTTGGGCAGCATCATTGATGAACAGGGTGGATCTGATGCAGATGTGAAGGCGCGGATCGGCAAAGCAAGAGCAGCATATTTACAACTGAGAAACATCTGGAACTCAAAGCAACTGTCAACCAACACCAAGGTCAGGATTTTCAATACAAATGTCAAGACAGTTCTACTGTATGGGGCAGAAACCTGGAGAACTACGAAAGCCATCATCCACAAGATGTAGGTGTTTATTAACAGTTGTCTACGCAAGATACTTCGGATCCGTTGGCCGGACACTATTAGCAACAAAATACTGTGGGAGAGAACAAACCAGATCCCAGTAGAGGAGGAAATCAGGAAGAAGCGCTGGAAGTGGATAGGACACACACTGAGGAAAGCACCCAACTACGTCACAAGACAAACTCTCACATGGAATCCTGAATGCCAAGGGAGAAGTGGAAGACCAAAGAACACATTACGCCGAGAAATGGAGATGGACAGGAGAAAAATGAACAAGAATTGGATGGAACTAGAAGAGAAGGCCCAGGACAGAGTGGGCTGGAGAATGCTGGTCGTTGGTCTATGCTCCATTAGGAGTAACAGGCGTAAGTAAGTAAGTAAGTCTAGTCGTTCAATTGTGAGCCTATTTTCAGATGAATCAAAATTTTTCAACATCAAAGGAGCAGTATTTTAAAAATCTTTTTGACACACGTCTACGTAGAACAGCGAGGCGGATAGTATTCTGCTGAAGATGTTTTTGGGGTAGATATTTGCGACTGAAGGAGAGTTAGACAGACAATTATCAGTTTACGGAAATCAGCAATTTTTATTATATGGAATACTAATCTCAGAGAACCATTTTCATTTCAAATACGTATATCATAGGAGAGGGTATCATCAGTGGTCGATGAGATCTACAAATTTCCTGTATAAAAGAAATCAGACAAGTTATTGGCTGGGGATGTCAGTCCTTCACTCATGTTTGTATGGTAGATGGATAGCCAATGACTCGTGACCATGAAATACTACGTGTCTTCGATGAGCGAAGCCCATAGTTCTTAAACAGTAAAATGCAACTATGCAATTTTAAACTGAATAATATTAATGGTTGACATGTATGGAAAGTGCTAAGGAAAATGTTAGAAAAACTTTACACTAATAAGAGGAAGTTGTGAATTGTGGCTTCGAACCACAGTCGTTTTAATGTTTCCCAGCTGGATCGCAGTTCAGTCGGTAAGACTATAATTTATGTATGAGACAATCAGAAGCTAGTGAGCGAGCGAACCTATTTCAATGCCCAATGCTCGCGTACGATCAGTCAACAGTAGATTTTAAAAAGGATGCCATAGTTGGTCGGCGACGACAGATGTGATTATTCTGCTCCTTTTTTTGTAATTGCGGTGATCAAATGACCGCAGAAAGTTGTTCAGACTATCGTCACAGTGTTGTATTTTGATGTAATATATGTTGAAGGTAAATGTTTGCTACGATACTTTTTTTGTCCCAACCTAGGTTGATACTAAGAAAAATTATGATAATTTTTGCAAAGTGGATAATAAAAGCGCCAGTAATACTGACTTTAAACTTTGCAGGTGTTATTGAAACCTCGGCAGTTCAATTGTATGAGTACTGTCGAGATATACGTGCAATGAAAATAAAAAGCATGAATCAGTCGTTTGGAGGAATCGGGAATATCGTGGAAATCAATGAAATACTCGTAGTAAAACGCGAATTCAATATAAGAAGTGTTAAAGAAGACTACGTAAGTAACAGGTCCTTAAGTATACTTATCAGATCCCTGGTATATATGATAGATAATCTCGAAAGAGACACTTCCAGCACATGAGAAACCGATAGGCTACAACAACTGTGTGAATTTAGACACCACAGTACACACAAGCGACTGAAGAGCAAATCTATACCTATCTAGACTTAGTTACCGACATCGTAGAGGCTCTTTCTAACCCTGAAATGCTTTTAAACTGTTTCAAAGAAGTGTATCTACTGTAGACTTTTGGTTTTGTATAATGTATTCTTATTTCATACTGAATGTTTTCTGATCACCTGAAATTTCCCAAGGTCACTTAGATTCGTTCAAAGGTCATCAAAATAAATCATAGTCTCACCGTTCAACCAATGATCACAATAAAATAGGTTGTGTAACTAAATATAATAAGAGAGAAGTACAGATCGACTGTGTAACGACAAGTGTGCTGATGGTTGTAAGGACAATAAAGGCTTGAAAAAAGTTTTCAAAATAGGATAATATATAGAAAAAGTGATGATTAATTCAGAAATGTCACATCATATGGAAAATCACATCTCTACTTTCATTCACTTACTGATAAATATTTATTCGGAATTTCCATGTCAAAACATGTTTCATTTTTTTACAAGTGTCTCTTCTACAGTGTGGTATGTTTTCATTTGAACTGGTAACCATTGAACCTAATTCACATGTTCTAAAAGACAAATGAATCAGTTTTATCTAGGGACTTGAAAAGTAGTTTCTCACCTTTCTTGATAAATAAGAAGAGTTTGAAAAATAAAACAGTGTAGGTGTTTGGGAATAACATTTATGATTTTTATATGATGAAAATAGTTTTTGACTTTACAAACTATCCGACTGACGAGTCACAAATAGGACGAAACGCACGTTCTGGATTCCACTGCTAGCCACTATCCATCTCTGTTTAGAATGTTTGTGACTTAAAGCAAAATCTAAGCAATACACACAATATACACATATGCTTATAAGAGACTGATCAATTGAAGTTCTAAACACCAATTGGAAGATTCAATGAAACAAAACCAAGTGAATTGATATAAATCATGATTCAGTATTCCTAATTGATTTTTAATAATTTGCTATCAGTATTAAAATCTAGTTAAAAGTAATGTCGATTCTACCTACTTGCTTAAGTATAGAAACAGGTAAACACCAGATTACATTACTCACTTACTTACACCTGTTACTGACAATGGGGCATAGGCCGCCGACCAGCTTAAAAGGTTCAGATAATTTTTTCTGGTTAGCGCTTTTTTAGCGAGTCAGTTTTCTACGGGATGGGGTCGCTAACCCAATGCCCAACCCTCCTCCTTTATCCGGGCAGTAGCCCCCGGAGGGACTCTAGGCGAGTTAGATTATGTTAATATAATAAGCAAAATCGATCTTCAGTGGTGAAGCGAATTCTTAAGCACAATGATATTTAGGAAAACAAGTGCTGAACATAAGACACTGAACATTGAACAGTACACGTATTGTATGTTAATCAATAAATGTCTAAACTGCACTATATCAGCTCACTTAATACTGTATACTATTTTGGAGCTGAGTTGATTATTCATACGCGCTCAGTTGAAAAAGCACCTATCACTGAGCAAATGCAAATAGATCGTTTTAAGGACATGAAAAAAAGCAATATCTATTCCTCATCGATATACAATGGGAAGTATAAGCCGTGTATTCAAATTCGACAATTCTAACAAGATTATTCATATTACAGATAAAAGCCATGTTCACATTAGTTTCAATTTGTCTCAAACAATACAGTAGTGTTGTAGTTGCTTAACGGCTAGAAATTAGCAGCAAATCATTCCATCTACCCAACTGTAAGGTAACTAAGACTGAATAACTATAACATCATTTAAAGTTAAATGATTTTCTTTTTAGTTTATCACTATATATGAAATATTATTACCTCTGAATAACTACATTCTCAGATTTTTTCACCTCAACAATTAGAGCTTTCTCCCAGAATTTGACAGCACCCTCAACTGCTCTCTATTAAAAAATTCAAAAATATCATTTAGTTAGTTCAGAAATATTGATGTAGAATCGATACATTCTAAAACGTTTTACCTTTAGATCACTGGAGCAGTCGGCACCCAATGGAGTTAATGTTTAACTTCAACTAATCCACGAAATTCAGCGACACACGCACCACTGTCTTCAGTGAATTACCATATCACAACAGAACCAGTTGAACTCCGGTGGTCACTGATTTTCACTAGAAGAATCTCCTGAAGTTCTAGTGAGAAGCATTGACCAGTGGCGTTCAGCCGAGTCTGTTGTGAGATAGTAACTCACTGAATACAGTGGTGCATCTGCCGCTCAATTTTGTGGATTATTTAGAGTGATACATTAACTTCATTAGATGCCCATCGACTCAGTGGATAGGGGTTAAGCGTTCGTGTGCGAGATTTTGCGAGGCGGGATTATGAATGCGCACTTCTGAGAAGTTCCACGATATAATGAGTTGGCCATTCAGTGCTTCCAGGTTTTTCATGATATTCTAGCTTCAGTTGACTTATGATCTCAACTATCAGATTACTATAATATTCACTAAACTCCCTCTGATAATAATAATGTGGTATCAAGTGTCAAAATATTTTATAAGAAGTTATTGAACGAACGTTAAAAAGCGTTGTTTATTTCATATTAAAGTTTGAATAGTCACAATAAGATGAGAACTATTATTCCAAATATAAAATTCATCTGTTTACAAACTGAATCAACTGTAGTATTTAGATTATTATTATACAACTGTATTTAGTCAATTACCACATATGTTCAGAATAGTCAGTAATGAAAGAATATGTTAATAAGTTAGGATAATAACTAGACACTACTTTTCAAAATGTGAACGATAATGTCATTTGTCTTGTCATGCAAACTGAAGGACAAGCAAAATAGTGTTTCTGACAGTTTATAATTGCATTTAGTAAAACTTGACGGATATTTGTGATATCACTGCGTGCTGATCAATCAATTGTAAATACATCTCAGTCCTAAAGAAAATCGGTCGCGTCCCGGATAGCTCAGTGGTAATGTCTCTGACTGTGAAGCTGAGTGATACGGGATCGAATCCGTTAGAGAGCATCAGTTCCTTCAATATTACAAGTACACCATGCTGATGAGTGCCAATTAACACGAAACCTAGGTTCAGGATTTCCTGTTGACTACCTTCAACCACCATCTTATTTGTGATATCGTTTGATTTTTTGATCTATTTACAAATTACATAACCTAAGAAAACACTATAATATCTCTTAGTTTTGTGCATAAAGATAGATAGTTTTTAATGAACTTTCATACACTCAATCACCTGTATAATAACTGATGCATAGATTATATATTCTTCTCTAAATCTTACAATCACTAAACTAGTATTGTATTCATGCTTTAAGAACTACTATCACGATTCTTTATTTCTCCTCACACTTTCTTATTTATAATATTTAAGATAATTAAGTGATCTATCAATGAGACATGTTTATGAAGATTAGTATGGAATGTACACCTTCTTATGGCTTCAGTGAACTTTGTTATAGAACATAGTTGTTATCACTCAAACATACTGAAACTCACTTTGATTTTTGAAAACACTTTACTCGTTTCAACCTTTCTATCATAAACTGGTATGATTTTCAAATTAAGACGATTCGATGATCGTTTAACAATATTTTGTGAATAGATACTATCACTCTGAAACAATACGTACATATATATATGTATATTATTCATTATTCATATTTGATAACTTGCCAGTTTCTCATTTTCAACAATAGGACAAACATATTCAGATTTCAATAATTTAAACAGTACTAGACATATAGAAATGATAGCATAAATGTTCATGATGAAATTTCTGAAGATGAAATATCTTATCTACCTTCATAGGGTTTATATAATATTGAAAGAATGTGAAAATCTCATAAATCTCTTCCATGAAAGCACAGTATTTCGATATTTTTCCATGATCTCATTTTGTAATAGAAGCAAAGTAAACTCACATAGAGTATACATGCATGTGAACAACATACGTTCACAGCAAATGTATCTAAAATACAATTTTACATCATGTTAATCTCATGTTTAGGTTGTTATTATTTATTATTTTCACATTACTCCACTTTTGTAAAGCTACACTATTTCATGGATCATATTCATCTCATCTACATGTTAAACTACCAATGTTTGTTATAATTTCAAACTAGAATCTTATGTTAGTCATTCAGAGAATCTACTTAACACAAGTATTATTCAGTGTGGAGATTTTGATGTTATTATCATCACTGTCAGTTTGACATTCAGAGTTACTTAATTTTGGTGTGTCATTATATTCTTTCTTCCGATGGCACAGACATAGAAACCTGTAGTGGCATTAGACCATAACCACACAATCTTCAAAGCTGAACACAACACTACTCGGAAAATAGATATTCAATATTTAACACGGAGAAATACCTAGGATGGAGAAGGCGCGTACAATGAATTGAATGGATTAGAGTTGGTCGTATGGCATGGCTCGGCCATGCAGGCGTGGTCCATCTGAATGTTACTTTATATCTTCTATTCATATTAATTATATTGTTCTTTCTCTAGCCTAACCTTGTTCTACATCATGTATTGGTAATCGATACAATACAGTGAGTTGGTGTAGTCGATGATGTGACTTCCACGTAAGATCTTATGGATTAGGCAGTTATATCATGACAAATCTACAATTTTAGGATTAGGTCTATTATTAGAGCAGTACTAATATCATATTACCATGAAGTCATATTACAAGTATTGTGATTTGAAAACCGGTTAATGTTTGCATGCTAAGAATGCTGAAGGCAGTTAGCAGGGTGTGTGTTGAAACGTCCGACGTCATTATGAGTATAGTTGTTGATAATTATCTAAAGTCTAACAAGCTCTTGGTAGTTGTTATCTTATCAAGTACTAACCATCCACTTCATTTATATCTTTCTTTTTGTATATTATGTGGTAGAATCAAGCGCCAATACATTAGAATCCATTCATACACAAAAAATATAGAAGCTTTACAATATCTTATCTAGCAAGTACACTATGTGACAAACAGGTTGTAGAAGTGGACCTAGTCAATAACTGGTATTCTTGAAGATATTGCTAATTAGAAGCTATACAGATTCTTATTTTATTAAAAAACAACTCATTTAATTACAAGTAACTTATTTACTTATATTCATGTATATATGTATGTATGGTTTGTTTTTGTTTTGTAAAAGAAACTTGTTAATATAGTTTGTGCTGTAAATCCTTAATTATACAAAACATATAACATTCAATAAAACCAATAACGATAATAATGGTAAAACTACTACTAACAATGGACGATCAATAACAAGTTACTTAAATAAGTGTCATCAACACAAGTGGATCATTCCATCATCGCATTAATAGATTGTTTAAGCTCCATGTTTTTGTGATAACCCATAAAGACGTCTGCTTTAATTGAACTCAGTAAACGTTTCATTGCTACATCATCCGTTTGACTATATATTATATTGTTGAACTGAAATTAAATATATTTTGTTGGCATAAATAGGAATCTCTTGAATTCTGTTACTGTTAACGGCAACAGAATAAGATTCTGATAAATAGCGTCATTACTTTCAAATGCAGTATATTTTGATGAGGACGTCCATTTAAAAAAAGCAATGAACCTACCAAATATATCCATATAATTTTTTCTGTCAGTACAGTTTCACTTCATAGACATCTGAAAACATTCCTCACGAATCTTTTACTCATAACTGGGTAAAGCTAATCGAAAGAGATCGAGATTGATAATATTGCAAACATTATTTAAACTTAGGTTCTTTTACCCAGATTTACCGATCCGGTTTATTCTCAACCGTTTATCATTTAGATTCTCGGAAGCGTAAAGTTTACGTCACATAGTACTGTAACCTTCTGTGAAAACCGGATGCGCTTCCTCGAAAAGAGTAATATCAGTTCTTGATGCACTCTTAAAACTATAAGTGTGGGCTGAAATTCTAGTTGACCAAGTTTTGTCCAAGTCACTCTAGGAATCATCATTATGTTGTATTTTGTATCCACCTGAATTTGAATCAACTTGCGGTAAAACTAGACGGCCATGCTATTCTTCTCTGACGAAAATTAGGTGTCGTGGATGGCTAAAACAGCGTTAGAGTTACCTAGTGTCATTTTTAAAATCTGCTTCGAGTTTCCCTTGTAGAACCTTTGTCAACCATCTACAGTCCTTGGACTGCTTTCACAACTTACTTGAGTATGATCCTATATACCGTAACAAAACGTCCTTTTTATCATGAAAAAAGATTAGTTGAATGCAATTCATCGCATCACTAGCAAATCATCTCGAGTTTCAATTGGCTGTAAGTCGTTATTAGGATACATCCATATTTCGATTGAAAGAGTTCCTTAGAGCACTGAATTCAGGGTGTAAACTATCACTTTCTACCAGATGTGCATCACGCTTCAAGTTCATCTTTCTTCGATATTTTTCCAACAAGCATTTTAGACCGATATTGAGATTTACTTCGATCATTGCAAAGATTTTTTTATTATGGCTGCATTTACTTCAGATCGACAACCGTACATAAATCTAAAGCATTTGAAAATGTCTACGGATGTCTTCGGTAGACTGAAAATCTAACATTTGTCTGCCAAATCGCTGGTCTTTTTACAAGTGGAAGGCATTGAAATGTTGTATGGAAATCACTCTTCTAATACACATGCCAGACGCCTTATAGTTTGCATTAAGTGAATTTATCTGTATGAAGTGAAAATACAAAACTTCTCATGTTCAGAAAAATCGAGTTTCGTATCAATAACCTCAGTTTGAATTTTTCTTCACACTCTTTACAATCATTAGTGAACAGATGCTTATTATACCTAAGTCATACTGAAAAGATAATTCCACTTTCTGAATCAAATATAAATTCAGTCAGTATCCAATATTATTCAAAGTCGTAGTAGGATTACATAGATGAGTTGTTTAAAGCCATAATTTAATAAGTTCAACAGTTGAGATCATGAGTCAATTGAAGCTAGACCACCATGTAAAACCATGAAGCACTGGACGGCCGTTCCGTTCAATTGTGGGACTCCTCACTAGTCCTCATCCACGAGAAGCAGTGAACAGTTGAGTTCAAGCGGGTCAGTTGTGAGGTAGTAATTCACTGATGACAATGGCGGATGTGTTGAAGTTAGACATTACCAACGTTGGATTCCTGCTGTCTTATTGATCTAGTGGTTAAGCGTTCGCACGCGGGACCGATAAGTCTTGGGTTGGGATCTCGCGAGGCGGGGTCGTGAATGCGCACTGTTGAGGAGCCCGCAATTGAACGAAACGGCCGTCCAGTGCTTCCAGTTTTTCCATGGTGGTTTGGCTTCAATTGACTCATGATCTCTACCGTTGAGATTAATACAATCTCCACAAAACTCCTTGATACTAATTTACTAAGTACCTTGTGAATAGCAGTTTAAGATCATTGATATTGTTGATAAAAAGTGCCATGTTAACGAGGCATAAAAGCATAGGTTCATTCTAAAAATTTCACCGACACTTGAATGATATTTGATTTCTTCCAAAAACCTCAGCTGAACAATGAATAATTTGTTGCGTATATGATTTATTTACTCTATACTAGATACTCAACTAACGCAACACACAACCTAAATCAGGAATGTTTAACTTTTCTGACAGGCACATGCATTAATTAATAATCAAGTAAACACAAATCTTAGGAAAATACGTATGACACATCAGGTATTAGTTGTAATATCTATCAATCAATCTGAAACCAATAATTAACTATGTCTGCTTTCTCCAACTCAAATGTTTTCTATAGCGATCTGTAAAACATTCTCGAAGATCGTGCATGAAGTTGATGATTTTTATTCAACGCACAATATTTAATTAAATGACATTATCAAAAACACTAGTCTCAGTTCTCAATCGTGTGATAAGTAATGCGATCAACATGATGTGAAATTGTATTTTGAAAATATTTGTTGTGAACTTATGTTGTTCACATGCATGTATACTCTATGTGAGTTTACTTTCCTTATATTATAAAATGAGGTCATGGAAAAATATCGAAATACTGTGCTTTCATGGAAGAGATTTATGAGATTTTCACATTCTTTCAATATTATATAAACCCTATGAAGGTAGATAAAATATTTCATCTTTAGAAATTTCATCATGAACATTTATGCTATCATTTCTATATGTCTAGTACTGTTTAAATTATTGAAAGCTGAACAACGCATCAGTGACAACGGGTTCCGGTTTTATTTGCAGTCGGTTAAGTACTTGGTGTTCGTTTTCGATGCCGACGGCCGCAGACCGGATCTTGAGAATATCCGACTGATTAAACTAGTGCCCACTCCCACCATTGTCTCGGCACTAAGTCCCTTCCTGGGACTTGTCATCTATTACTCAGCGTTCGTTCCATCGATGCATGATATTCGCGCTCCACTGAATAGCTTACTGAAGAAGAACAGCTCTTGGGACTGGACTAAACAGTGTGGCGCTGCATTTTGTAAAGTGAAGTCGATTATTAGTTCGGAATTGCCGTTGACACACTACGATCCAGCCATGCCGATCATCGTAGCGGCAGACGCTTCAGAGTATGGCCTAGTCACAGTTATCTCACATCAGTTTCCGGATGCGTCGGAAAAAGCCGTTATGCATACTTCCCGCACACTAACCTCAGAAAAAAATACAGCCAGGTAAAAAAGGAAGTTCTAGCGCTTGTGTTTGCCGTGCGCCGTTGCAACAAGTTCCTGTACGGTCGAAGATTCACGCTTCTTGCAGATAACTATCCTTTACTCGCAATATTCGGGTCGAAACCTGGCATCCAAATTCATTATTTATTTATTTGAGCACATAAATATTTGTGCAAGAGTGCGCAAATATATATGCGCCACACAAAACAATGAGGATTTAAAGAGAAGGAGAAAAGGTAGAGAGCGTAAAAAAAGGAGAACAATAACGAAGAGGTTGGTGTAAGGTAGTGTAATAATGATAATAGTAATAATGGAGGAACGGAGAGGTACAATCAGAAGATTCCTTTGGTTCAGGAAGATACAACCATTTTTTTAATGAAGAGAGTAAAAGAAGGTTACTGCAGGATCGCCACTGGCTTATATTCTGAGCCATATCTGATAACGTCTATAGCCACTGTGCTGCACCATCTCTCGGACCCCAGCCAGGGAGTCGTGAAGGACCGACACAAGCCAGTTTTTTGCAGCTTTCTTTCATGCCACGACACCATGTCATATACTGGCCACCTCTCCGCTTTATCCAACCAGTCCCAGAGTCGGCAAATAATGTACGACGTGAAATTCTCTGGGATGACATTCGTAGGACATGTCCAAGCCACCAAAGTCGGTGTTTCAAGATGGTGAAACCAATTGAACTATCGTCTCTGCATCTGAACATACGATGCAGAACCTCTGCATTACTAACATGGTGTTGCCACTGGATGTTAGCAATCCTTCGGAGACAACGATGACCGAACACAGAGAGTCGTCTAACGTCCTCAACTAAGAGAGGCCAGGTTTCACAAGCATAGAGCAAAACTGCTCTCACCGACGCGTTGTAGATCCGAACTTTTACAGCCAGACTAACATCACGAAGGCACCAAAGATGGCCCAGATTGGCATAAGCCACTCTGGCTTTCATTATACGTGGATTGATCTCATCACTCACACCCCCACCAGCACTTATGCAGTCACCTAGATACACGAACTTCTCGACTACTTCTATCTGCTCACTATCCAGGGTGTGAGTACAGGATTGGAATCCTGCCAGTCTTGTAGAAGTACTTTGCACTTCGAAGGTGCAAAGCACATACCATACTTAAGGACACTGATTGCCAACTGATTAAGTGCGGATTGCATGCCTTGGGCATTATCGCACAGTAAGACAATATCATCCGCATACTCAGGGCCGAGAATTCTTTCTCCAGGCAACAGATGCACACCGCCATTACTCACATCCAACAGAGCTGTTTCCAGAATGTCATCGATGGCGAAATTAAAGATGAATGGTGAGATTGTGCAACCCTGTATAACCCCACTGCTCGAATGGAGCAATGGAGAAGGGTGATTGTATGCCTCACTCTGCCTGAGGTGTTTGTATATAGGGCTTTTAGGATGTTAATAAACTTCTCAGGCACACCCTCCTTCAATACACAACCCCAGAGAACAGTCCTAACCAACGAATCGAAGGCAGCCCTAATGTCAAGAAACACTTCGATTGTTGGTGTTTGATAAGAGATATCTTTAGATCTTAACGTTGTGGTACGACTCACCGAAATATCAATATTGAGGATTAATGGACATAGACTGCCCATGCGACGATGTTGTGAATTGCTAATAAGAGATGATAATTATTCATACATACCTTGTAAATTTTTAGTTAGAGAAACAGAACTGTGAATACTGGGTTTAAAGAATTTGAAAAAGCTTAAGGTGGAGTTGTCTTTCCAGTTGCTAAAGAAAAATCAGATGCTTTACTTAAAGATTGATAGATCTGTGTGCTAAGTGCAGTAGAGGTATGAAAATTCAGCCTATAAAACTTCACGTACAGGGTGATCCCGTCTTCCTTAAAAGACGAATAATTCCTTATGGTCTTCGAGAAGCAGTACATAAGACATTAAACGAGTTGTGTTTGTGAAAGGCATAATTGAACCGATTCAGTCTTCAGCATGAGGTACTCCTATCGTTACGCCACTGAAGTCGTACGGCAAGACCCCTAGAATTTGTGGTGACTGTAGATTAACATTGAACTCCCGTTTGTTGAAGCAAACGTGCACGACAGTAGAGGCTTAAGACATTCTAGATTGACTTCATGGTTCTAAAGTGTTCTCGAAAGGTGACCTAAAAGATGCTTATCTTCAAACCCAGATATGGAACGACTAGCTCCACTGACAAATGCACCGTATCCAAAAAATATTACGGAATTATGTTCACTACTGGTTGATCTTCAACACCATTCCCGTTTTATTCCTAATCTTTCTTGTCATGCAAATTGTTTGTTCAATATTTTGACATCCAATTCATTTAAATGGGGTGAGGAACAGGAGTTTTGCTTACGAAATCTACTAAATTTTCTTCAAAGTTGTGCTGTTCGTCGAACTTACTCCCCAGTGTACATTCTGTGCTTATTACTAATGCATCACCTCTGGGCGTTGGCACAGTTTTGGAGCAGGAAGGTAAACTAGTTGTTTGTATTTCACGCAACCTTACTGTTACTGAACTAGGTTATTCACAGACTCAGCGAGAAGCATTAGCTGTGTTTTGGGCTGTTAGAAGACTTCATAAATATTTATTCGGAAAGAAATTCACTATTGTTACTGATCATGAAGCTTTAAAGTTTATTTATCAACCCGAAAAATCCTTAGCACGTTCGTCAGCCGCTATGGTTCAACGATGGAGTATTGCTTTGTGTGCATATGACTATACGGTTCAGCACAGAAATGCCAAACAAATTCAACTTGTTGAGTACATTTCTTGACAATCGTTACGAGATAGACCTGTTAATACTTCAGACTGTTTGTTGGTGCAACCCCTAACAGTGAGACTTCGTGATCTCATTAGAGAAACGCGTAGATATTTTGGATGTATACTCAGTGCTATAAGGAAAGGTTGGAATGCTAATTTGAAACGTAGATTTCCTATCTATTTTTCAAAGCAGGATGAGCTATCTACCACTACTGATGGTATTTGTGTTTAAATGATCGTGTTGTCATCCCTCATTCATTGCGTAAATCTGTTTTGAAGATCTTCATAGTGATCATTTAGGTGTTGAAAAAATGAATTCCTTGGCAAGGCTCACATATTGGTGGCCAGAGATAAATGCGGATATATGTCGTACAGTGAACAATGTGAAAAATGTCATCAATTGAAAAACCAGCCTTCAAAGTGGATTCCATGGCCAGTATCGTCTAAGGCCTGGCAGAGAATTCATGCAGACTATTGTGGTCCGTTTCTTGGCAAATACTATGCACTTGCAGTCAATAGTTCTTCTTCGAAGTGGCCTGAAGTTTTTTTTCACAACTTCACCAAATTCTGATTTCACAATCCAAGCATTAGAAAGGTGTTTAGTCGAGGAGTACCCATGGTTTTAGTGAAAGATAATGGCTCTCATTTTGCTGCAGATGCAGTCACTACCTGGTTGAATGGTATAGGGTGCAAACACAACCGACATGCTGATTACACAATCCCAGGAAGCAGGTGAGTCTGTTTCAATTTCGGTTGGTAATTTTAATACTAATGGCACATTCTTGATAATGCCGAGTCCTTATCCAAAACACTGTCCGACAGACACAGGATGAAATTAAAAAGCAGATGTACAATCGATTACAGACACTTAAACTCCAATTTAAGCTGTGGCGGGTGTGGTGTTTGAATGAACTAATGATTCCTTTGTACTTGTTGAATGATTGATTTCGAATTCTAAATACAGTATATCGTTTGTGCTTATCTAGTACTTCTTGATCCGATTACGTTATGTCTGAGATTCTTAGTTCATACTAGAATTCAAATACTCCTAAGCATCATAAAAATACATAACTTTATTTCGCTCTGTTTACGAAGAGAAAACGAAGTTGAAGGATCCTGATGAATATCTCTCCTTGGATTGAATTTGTACAATTTCACTTATGTGAGAAATAACTGGGTAAATATTTGTGTTTTTCTGCATAAACGATAATTCCGTGTCCATGAATAAACCAATTGAAACAAGGTGATTCAAATATGATGGACTTTTAAAACAAATCAGCATTGAACAATGACAGTCAACACCATAATCAGGACACCATTACACCCAGAGGAATCAAACTGAAAATGTGTTAAGTGTCGTTAAACATATATAAACTATGTTTTATACGAGGTAATGAGTTAACTACATGGAAAACACTTGTGAATTGTGAACTTCAAAAGTAGCCACAAATTGAAATATTTAGTTCTTTGTAAAAACATGAAGTCAGCAGTCTACGTTTACCGATCTAAGATGACCATTGTCAAGTGAGAACAACATAGATTGTAGGATGATGTGAATTTGTAGAATTATGGTCTACTTCGCTGGAGGTTATCAAGAATAGGAAGAATCCTCCGGGTAAAGATAATCTGAAAGATAAATCAGATAGAAAATGGCAACAGCTGATCGGGAAATACATGTCAAAATTACAAATTATTCGGTTCATTTCTTGGCCCGCGCGAAATCAAAGTTCTACGTGATGATTATACGAGAGTTAAATACATTGAGATTACAGTAATTAAATATGTTTTCGTGGATATACCTTTTCGGATACATACGTTTCGTTTTCTGTAGTTGATCTAGATGGTATCGGCTATGTAAAGCAACTGTAATCTGGTTCCTTGAGGTGATTTTAGAACTTGATATAAAATTGAGAAGGCTTCCTCTATTTTGATATGATGTTCACTATCTACCAAGTGAGAAAGAATGGTGCTGTTAACCGATTTAGTAAATCCTTTTCCCAACAATGCTGGTACATCTTCATGAACACGCAAAGATAAAGCCCCTGAGTTCGGTCTATGTACTAGCTCAATAGGAGCGGTTGAATTGGTATAATTATTTATTGTACAAACATGCTGTGTTTGGAACAGTCAACGAAACGAAACATTATCTGTATGAAAATAGACGAAAAGAAAGTAATACAACGGATATTTTAAATATTTCTCCCTCTTGCTTGGGTATACTACGGTTATACGACTAGTCATGGTAAATCAGATCATGGATTCACGAATCAGATTAGAGAACCAGGTAACACTAGACATTACCTTGTTCCAAATAGTAACAAGAAGTCACTCTCAGTGGGCCCGAAGTGGGTCCAATGAGAGGAAAATAAATCAAGTGGGAAATAGTCATGAGGCTAAGTGCCGTTTTGTTTACACTCAGCGACTAGTAAAATTTTACTCTTACTTCTACATGTAAGATGTAGAACACTGTTTTACTTAAATTGCTTAGCTTTCTCAAATGAAAAGATTTAGAGACTACGTTTTATTATTCACATTCAATTGTTGTAATATTTGTTTGCTCACTGTAAATTAGACACTCAATCCACTATGTAAAATTATGTGTGAGTCTGATCAAGCTGAACGCACTCTGTACATCAATGTTTAATGTATTCTCTCATTGTTGTACCAAAGAGACAATCAACAATTAACCACAATCGATTGACACTCATAAATATATGTGGAGATTTAAAATTCACTCACTTACACACGAACATGCTGTCACTAGTTTAACTGTTTTCTTGCTTTCTGCCCACTCGAGCAGTTTTACCATACATAAGCTATAAATCATCTTTATAACTGGTATCCATGTTTCGAATTATCCATAATTCTACCTGGAGTTGTGCCTGTATCAAATACACAGTTAATGGGATACTATTTAGTGGAGTCAGATAAAGAGGAATTTAACCTCTACAAGGTAATTGTTATATAACAGCTATGCTTTAGAAAATGATATCTGTAAGATCCATTTTGAAGGTTTTGTGTGTTGGTGAAAATCCCTCCATGTATATACTTGTACTTTGTTCCTATTGATCCCCTTAGTTGTACATTGTTGTATTTTGATTACATTTGAATTGTAATACTTGTATTTTTTATTATAGTTTTTGTTTTTCTTACGCATTCACTAAGTTTGTGTTTCTTCCTGAACTGCATCTGTGTTGTTTTACTTGACACTTGTTCTTGGCGGTAGCCATATTGATTTGCTCCTTCTTTTTGTGTGTGTTCTATCCAGTCAGGATAGAATAACGTTCATTTGTTTTGACTGGTAATTTTCCCTCATCTTCTATCAACTTCTTTATTTATTGTAATTTAGATTTGATTGATTGAACAATTATTGATTGAATAGCCGAGTGGTAATATTTGTTTAGGTAACGATTTACATTTAAATTTATGATGAATTATAGAACCGCTATTTACCCGATTACTTGTTTTGATTTCGACGGGAAAGGGCGCGTGTCTAAAGTCCCCGGAAGGCTATTCTTCACCATCCAAACCGTAGTTTGGATCCTACAATATCAATTACGTCTCCGTCAACATGCATCAAATTCCGAAAACAAATAGTATGTGTACAAGCGAAATACGTTTACAAGACTACTTGATGCTCCACATCCCATTAATCCAAGCCAGAAAATATAAGTAATAAATGTATTTGAACATATCTCGACCACTTATCTGCAACATAATTCCCTCAAATAAAATAAACATGGTTCCCTATTTCAAATTTTTAATCTATATTTGGAGCTGTTCCCTTGTTCAAGAAATAAATTCTCCATTATCATACGAGGTTATATCGCTTATTGATCATGGCAGTTTTAAATAATGACAAACTCGAAAACCATCAAACTATTTCGTCTGACATGACGGAGAAGATTTGTATCTCAGGTGGACGATTTTAATGGATTTTGGTTCTCTGAGCTGGATGACTTTGTCGTGTAGCTTTCATTGTTTTTCTGAACGACATCATCGGCACAAACTTCAGATAGAAGTGACGTGTTCGAATTTCTCCATAAGCTTTCCACAGCTTGTTCTGTACACCTCCACACCTCAATCCAGTTTATCAACCAATCAAGAAAATCATCCACAAATATAAGAACGAAAATCAAACCAATGGGAGACTCAACCAAAACAAAGAAGTAAACAATGACAAATTCAGAGTCAATAAGAATCAATCAACTTCGAGGTGTACAGAACAATCTTTGAAACGCATATGGAGAAATTCGAAGACTTCGCTTCTATCTGAAGTTTGTGCTGATGATGTCGTTCAGAAGAGCGATGAAAGCTCCACGACCAAACCATCGAACTCAGAAAACAAAATTCCATCACATATTCTTCTTATTTCCATGTATCATGGTTGTATAGATTCAAAAAGTTATTCGTAATCTAAAGGATATATTATTGTTCGCGTTAGCTTGTGCTGTTAATTCATTCTGCTTTGATTTGAATAAAATCACAATTATACATCTCGACCATCCTGATACATAATCATCGACTCGAACCACGTTGACGACTGACGAAATCAAATAAGTCAAATACTGAAATAAAGTTTGAATACGTAAATGTCGTACACCAGTTGATATAGACAGACAATTATGGAAGCGAAGAGAGCGAAGCAAATGAGAGAACGTTAAACCAAACTAATCAAAAAGGACATGTATAGAAAACTGTTAAAAATGAATGAACATTGAAGAGCTGATTTTCACATAATCGTCAGATAATATTCGTTCATGATTTGAACTAAAAACCAGGTGAACACAAATATTTCATTCTTAAATTAAATAGTCACCAATTTTGCACGACTCTTTTCTTCTAATAGTTATTGACCAAGAAGAACACTAGTCAAATATCTGAAGTACATATCTATTGAACCACAGTTTAAACGTCTATGAGAAGTTCTAATTTTGTGTGCTTACTAAATTTACTTCACACTACTGAATTGAACTATGTGTGTAATACAGGATAGTGAAAATATATAAACTGAAGATTTTGTTCTTTGTCAAATCTCTGAAACATTTTGGTGTGAATACATGAAAATCCGTCTGGTGTGCAATAGAACGAAAACATTAGGAGATGAAGTTGGACAAGGAGTCATCAAAACTGTGATGTTAACTGACTACGTCTGTATTGAAACTAAGTTGAATCAACACGAACATGAGAAAAATTATACTGGAACTAACTTACATCATATTTGGACTGTAATTGTGAAAACAGAACTACCTGAAGTAGTGATAGTATTATGTTTTAACTGAGTGAAGCACTAGACAGTAGTGAAAGAACAGTGTACTTATATTTATATACGTTTTAATAACCAGTATTTTTTTCTCCATTTTCATGAATAGGGATGCTTTGTAGGATCTGGTGTTGATCTCTCAGAGAAGTTTATCGAGATGGTCCAGGATTTGCACCAAATCAATATGTTGTTTTTGTCTCAAGTGTGAATGAACATGGTTGCTTATCAGGTAGAACATTGGCTTATGCTGGTGCATGTGAAACGCACCCTACAACTGACAGGTTAGTAATTATTCATTTGATTGGATGATAAGATTAGAAAACAATCAGTCCGTTTAAACGATGACATTAAATTTTTATTTGTAAAGTGAGCGAACAGTTTACTATTGTATATGTCCTCATAATCGATGAGATGAAGGGTTTTAGCACCGTCCATGACAAACCATTCTTTCTTCTTTACTTAAATTTTCAATGGTGGTCTAGCTTCAACTGACTCATGATTTCAACTTGTGAGAGTTCTGATCATTGAAGTTCACAGTGTTAAATCTATAAGATAAGAGGAATTAGTCAACTGGTTTGATAAGAAACACAATATTATTGAACCAAATTGATGAGAACAATGTACTACCACAAGATCTGTCTACATAAGAAACATGTTATGGTAACATATTTTATTTAAGTTCTATATGTATTTTAACTTCAGACCAATTATGGGAATGATCAACTTCTGTCCAGAAAAGATGGAAATAGAAGAACCAGGAAGAACTATGATGCTTGGTACAGCTACTCATGAAATGGCTCATGCTTTGGTGAGTGTTTATATTTAAATGAAAGCTGCTTTGTTAACTTACATTATGTCCAAAATAGGTTAATAATAAATTTCATTTCGAAAATGTTAGATCATTTCCAGTTGATAGCCCCCAAGTGCTCTGATACAGCCGAGAGTGGGGAGAGTCAGCTCTCTTTCTCTCTCGAAATACTATCACATGGCCTACAACCGTGCATACAACCACTACCAGGCAAGTACTAATCACTGCCTTCTCACGGTGGGGTGTTGATTACAAAATTGAGAGTATGGAAAACGGATGTTCGGCGCATTAACTGGGTTGGTGAACATAGAGAGTCCATATGGGGTAGTTGGAAGACCTTGATTCCAAACGAATAGTGCACATGTATTCCAGGATCCTGAGAGGATGAATGGCGTGTGAACTAATCGTTGATCACCGACTACCAAGAGACTGCATCTCCCGACGTTGCTCCACTGCCATATGGATCAGACATTTAGGTAAAAGGCACCATGTATCGCCTCTTAATAAAACTACCTGTTTCGGTTTCGGCACCCGAGTAGTATCCCAGCCTTAACACAAATCAAATGAGATTTATGTGGCACATATCTATTTGGTGCCTCCCTATACTAATGTTTATGTGTTTTCACAAATAATAATAATTTACTATTTGATTAAAGTAATTTACTTTGTCGCATCCTGTACACTGTCTTAATAGAATTTTGATTATATCGTTCATCCAGCCTATGATTTCAATACTAATTGTCATTTTTCTTGTAAATCGCATAATTGTTTTAATAAGTATCATGAGGCTCTTTGAACTTACTTGCTTACTTACTTACTTACTTACTTACTTACTTACTTACTTACTTACTTACTTACTTACTTACTTACTTACTTACTTACTTACTTACTTACTTACTTACTTACTTACTTACTTACTTACTTACTTACTTACTTACTTACTTACTTACTTACTTACTTACTTACTTACTTACTTACTTACTTACTTACTTACTTACTTACTTACTTACTTACTTACTTACTTACTTACTTACTTACTTACTTACTTACTTACTTACTTACTTACTTACTTACTTACTTACTTACTTACTTACTTACTTACTTACTTACTTACTTACTTACTTACTTACTTACTTACTTACTTACTTACTTACTTACTTACTTACTTACTTACTTACTTACTTACTTACTTACTTACTTACTTACTTACTTACTTACTTACTTACTTACTTACTTACTTACTTACTTACTTACTTACTTACTTACTTACTTACTTACTTACTTACTTACTTACTTACTTACTTACTTACTTACTTACTTACTTACTTACTTACTTACTTACTTACTTACTTACTTACTTACTTACTTACTTACTTACTTACTTACTTACTTACTTACTTACTTACTTACTTACTTACTTACTTACTTACTTACTTACTCCTGTTACTCCCAATGGAGCAAAGGCCACCGACCAGCATTCTCCAACCCAGTCTGTCCTGGGCAGTTCATTATATGATAACTTGTAACATAGAACTTGAAAGATCACCATGTTAAACCTCCTATTCTTACATTTATTATAATTTTACTGAAATTAAACTATTGAACATTTTAGGGATTCTCTAAGTCGAATTACGCTTTGATGCGTGATCGAGACGGCAGACCATTAACACCAAGAGATCCCAGAACAGGTAAACCACCATTGAATCCTCAAAGGCAGTATGATCCCAGGTGACTTATTGTTTTGTGATTCTAGTTTTATCCTAACTCTTTTCAAAGTTCTTTATCAGTTTCTAGTGTCTTCTAGTATGTTATTTATAATAATCAAGTGAACCAAACTTTGCTTCACTCAACTATTAGATGACATTTTCTTTTAAACGATAAGTATAGTCCACAAATCAACTGGTTGTTCACGTTTTATCACCTAAATCTGCAAACGGTTCTTGATTCGAAAAATTCATTAGTTGAATCACTAAGATCTGTTCTAAGTAAGTCAGTTAATCGGCTACAACGTAGGACAAGGCACATATAAACAGCGGTCCAAGTTGTCATACCTCATTAGCACAACAAGATGAGTAAGAGTCCTATAGAGAATAATATGAATCAAAAAATTTTAGGATATATATTTTTACCACTACAGATCCATGTATTTTCCCCTACTTAAGAAAGATGCTTTAATTGAAGAGATGAGTGAAATAAGTTTAAAGTAATTAAACTCAGTTAAATCGGAGAATATTATAAGGTACCGAGTACTAATATCAAGTCTCTAATATAAATATTATAGTTCCTCTATTTGAAGTTAGTTAGTGAATATACAATCGTTATGTTATTGTGACGACGAGATACACATGTTGGAAGTAGAGAAGTTCGATTATATTGAGAAAAACGCAGTGATTGATAGAAGTTCCTTATCAAACATATCGATTAGACGTGATCATTTTGATAAGCAAAGTTCAAGAGGAAGTAATAAGGTTATTATGGTCTACACGTTGATAACTTTGAACTTAATAATGATCTTAATATAATTTGAAAGTTAGTTCACTCACGACGTTTACATAAACATATTTCTCAATAGGCGACAACTAAACGATCAAATGGTTAGCGTTTTTTTAGCGAGTTAGTCACTAACTCCATGCCCAACCCCCTTCCTTCAATAATGAACTAGTTAGATAAACAGTAAAAAGAAAAGACAATTTACACTACAGCCCCCCAAAAAATGATAAGATACATGTATATATTATTTCTACGCAACTTACATTCAATCATGTCTTCATATTACATTTTCTAAATAAACGTTTTGTGTTCCATTTCAGTGACATTACTGTTAGACGAATTGCTCGTCCCTGGCTTACAGCGGCTGGATCTTTTGTGAAAACTTTCTCATCATTTGTTACACCGGCATTACTGGTAAGTTTTAGTGTCAAGTTAACACTCAGTGCAATCGAAATGTGTATTCGTTACTCATAAACTAATTAATTACTTACTTACTTACACACTCCTGTTACTCCTCTTGGAGGAGTATAGGCCTCCCACCAGCATTCTCCATCCAATCCTGTCCTGGACAAATCTTTCCAGCTGTTTCTAGTTCTTATTTATCCTTGTCATATCTACTTCTATTTGTAGACGTAATGTGTTCTTTGGCATTCCTCTTTTCGTCTTCTCTTCAGGATTCCAATTTAGCACTTGTTTCGTGATGTAGTTTGATGATTTCCGTAATGTAGGTTCTATCGATTTCCGTAATGTAGGTTCTATCGATTTCCGTCGTCTTTTCGTAATTTCCTCTTCAGTTGGAATTTAGTTTGTTCTCTCCCACAGTAGGCTGTTGTTGAATCTAGAATCTAGAAATGTTCACAATGCTTAAGAATGAACTGAAACATTCTAGATTGACTAATATATTCAAATATTTGAAGTATTATAAGAATTAATTATCGAATAAGTAACATTTTGTTAAATTAAGCCATACTACTTCTACCTTATTATTCACATAAAGTGTATAGAAAACATAAGATGACTTAACAACAGATATTAGCACTTTCAGTCTCATTCTTTGACCTAGACATTTCTTTTGTCTTTATGCTATTCCGAAATATTCCATTTGCCAATGTACATACACCTTGTCGTTTTCGCCAACTCATATATTCAACCCTATATACCTAACTAAGAATGTTTTTGAATAAAAGTCTTATTTCACGTAATACGTATTATTTTATTTCATAAGGAATTATTTTCAATCAAAAATTATTTATTCTCACTTAGGCGGTAGGACGCAAACATTATAACTGCCCTAACTTGGATGGGATCGATATAGAGAATGAAGGTGGAGAAGGAACAGCTGGTTCACATTTCGAGAAGCGAACAGTTGGTGTAAGTAACGCAATTATTTATCTGTAGCAAAAGATCATCTTGTAATTGTCTCTTGATCCTTCTGTTACAATGATTCAATGGTACTAATCATTTGATATACTGTGAAGTAACTTTAATAGTTGAGATCGTGATTCACTTGAAGCTAGACCACTATGAAACACCTGGAAGGACTGGACAGCCGTTTCGTCATATTGCAAGACTCCTCAGCAGTGCACATCCGCGATCCTGCCTCGTGAGATTCGAACTCATTACCTATCAGTCTGTAGCCTATATTGTACTGTTATTTGATTTAACGTATCATAATGAAAAGTCAGAAGATGTGGTAATATGAAGAAAAAGACTCGATAACAATCCAAGATTGATGTTTCCTGATAGTCGGTACTTGTAAGATGGAATGACATACATGATTCTGATTTAAATGTTATCTTCCTGGGATCTGAGCTGGTGTTACACTTTACTGAAAAATGTCAATTAGCATGAAACGTAAGTCTAGATGTTCTTGTCGAATGCTCTCAATCGTCAATTATCGAAACATAAAACATGAGATGTCAGGTTATTTAGATTAAGAATTACATCGTGAACTAATTCATGGAACTCGATCTATACTAAAGACTCTCTCATTATTAAGTAAACAACATGATATGATGAATAAATTTGGATGTTTGTTGGGAAGTCAAGTTGTTTGAATGAATATTTAAAATGTACGGGAACTTAGAAACAAGCACGATCTGGTGATGTAATTCGAATGATTAATTCTGTTCACTTTGTTTATGTTTATTACAGGATGAAACAATGGCTGGTGAGACAGGAGTGAAAAGTGTACTTTCAGCATTAACATTAGCATTCTTCACAGATTCAGGGTAAATTAATACAATTAAATGTATCGTAAATGTTTCAATCGAGAATCTTGAGTATATTAATTGTGGAGCTAATCCGTGTCAGGTAGAGACAGGTATCTACCTCATTACAATGGAAGATGGTCACACGATTTCGTGTATTGTTTGACGTTAGATATTAACACCGTTTGATGTCGTGCAGCTCAGTGGTCTACAGGTTAAGCAGTTGCGCGCGGTTCGAATCCTGATAACGAGATCGTGAATGCGCACTGCTCTGGAGTCCCACAATAGGACGAAACAGCCGTCCAACGCTGTCAGTTTTTCAATGGTGATCTAACATCAATCGGTTTATGATCTCGATCAAAGTCATAATAATCTCCACAACCCTATACTGATAATTTATTGTGTATTATGAATCATTTCGCAAATTTGTTTTGTGGTAATATGACATTAGATGTATCAACTTAACAATTCTTACCACTTATTTGTTCAGACAGTTAAATTAGCTCAATTTCCAATCACCATCCGAGAAAGCAAATTTAGATGAGATTACGATTTATGAATGGGCTTGAGATTGTTCACCTAATAACTAGGATCTATAGAGGGTTATAAACCAGTGTGAGGAATTAAAATTATAATTGACAGTTGGTGGTTAGCGTTAAGAATTCGATTTATGCTTTTCATCATTAGCTATTATGCCAAAACTTTATTTATCCAAATGGATGTGTGAAATTCGCGCCAAAATTTGTGACCTGTTATCTTGAATTTGATTGGTTCGTCCATAAATTATGGTCTTGCCATTCTATTTCTTTCTTTTTTTTCATTTATTTATTGAATATATTGTTTTGATTTAAATAAAGCTGGTGGGATGTCGATTATTCAGTTGCTGCAGAGTGGCATTATGGAAAGGATTTAGGTTGTAACTTCGTCATGGGAAGTTGTTACGCATATATGGCACGAATGAAGCAAGCGTAAGATTTATTCAATTATTTCAATATATTACTCATGATTAAAACTTACCGCTAAGTTTTCTATTATTGTCATTAGTAGTAGTATTAGTAGTAATAGCATTGATAATATTTTTTCTGGTTAGCGTTTGTTTAGCGAGTTAGTTTTTTATGGGATGGGGTCGCCAACGCCATGCCCAACCATCCTCCTTTATCCGGGCTTGGGACCGGCAGTAGCCCCAGAGGGGCTGCAGGCAGAGTTATTGATAATATTAATATTCTTAAAATCATGACCTTGTTACCAGTAATCCCAGTTTATATATTAAATAGGTTTTAAGTGGTAACAATGTCCATTTCATTTCAGAGGGAAAAGCATAGAACCTTACTGTGATGAAACGGGTTCTTTAACGTGCTATCATAAGAATGCTTTTGGGATTTGTGCTATGGGAAAATATAAGGGTTTGTTACCACCAGAAGAGCAATATTTCAAAGGTTATCCCAATGTTGGAGGTACCGGTACATTGACAGATAGATGCCCCACTGTTCAGGTTAGCATTTTTTTATTGTTTAGTTCTAATCAAATATGCTTTACTTAATTGTTCGAAAACCATGTTCTATATAGGTTGAGTGCAAATATCTATCCATCTTCGTTTTATTTATTACTTTAAATGGCAAGATAAACTCATGACGAGCATTTATTTACGTAAACTGTTGGAACGTCGTGAGGTGGGGTCTTGAATGCGCACTGCTGAGGAGTCGCGAAATAGGACAAACCGACCATTCAGTGCTTCCAGGTTTTCCATTGTGGTCTAGCTTCAGTTTGCTCATGATCTCAACTATTGAAAAGTGTTGTGTTTGTAAAAATTTTCTTCAAAAAGCTTGGATTTTCGTAAACATAATAATGGTTGCGCAGCCATTCATGGATTGATGGAAGTTGGAGATTAATTTTGTTGGATACCGGCCTAGTGGTCTGCAGGGTAAGCTTCATCGTGCGAGACTGAACGTCCCGGGTTCGAATCGCGGACTCACACCACTGAAGATTCCCATACTAGTACGAAATGGCTGTCCAATTATCTCAAGTTTTCAATGGTAGTCTACCTTATATCGACTCATGAGTTTAACTATACAAGTTACTAAAATCTTCACAACTCACCTATCTAATCACAATTTCTCACTAATTCGTCACTTATATTTCAACGAAGGGTGTGTACCCCTAAGAAAAACAATCTGTTTCCGTCTGGGCACTCGGTCAGTATCACAGCCCACTCACAAATCAAGTGACTTGTGTGGCGCATATGTATTCGGTGCCCTCTTTTTACCAATATTTATGTGTTTGGTCACAGGAAGAAAGAATTAGTTCGTAGAAAGAAAGATACGAGACGATTTTAATCTCAGAGTTTAAGGGAAGACAGAGAGTGTATACACCATCCCCAACACCGGTTAGCATTGCACGTCGTGGTAATCGGTGTTCAGGCATATGTAACACGTGGCCCAACCATCTCAGTCGATGATGATTCACAACCTCATCGACTGATTTACCACCATTCCCTAATATCCTGCGTCCAACCTCACTATTACTTACCCGGTGATCCCAGCAGACGCCAGCAATATTTCTAAGGCATCTGTGGTCAAATACTAGTAGCTTACGAGTGTATTCTACTCGTAATGGCCATGTTTCGCTGCCGTCATCAGGCTTTACTCTAATATGCATGAATATTTACACGAAAATGTTAAACCAATCAAGGCAATATGGGTCAATAATCACAATGATATAGATTAAGCATGTTGATAGTAGGAAGACAGATGTGGTGACTTAATCTATTTCATTATGATTATTGACCCATATTGCCTTGATTGGTTTAACATTTTCGCATAAATATTCATGTATATTAGAGTAAAGTCTGATGGCGATCTAACTGAAAACAATTGTTCGCTTATATGTGCTGTTTTTAATTTTCACAATGGGAATCTTTAATATTAACGAAATTAACTGAAATTATGTCGAAAGCAACTATGATTTACAAAGATCTTTGAAATGGAAGGTTAACTGAAGTAAAAATGTTTTCATAGTTATAAAAAAACTGAAAATTCATCTTAGTTTATGCTCTAAAACAGAGACAAAACTTATTTCAATTGCAGAAATGTTACGTCTTTAATCTATACACCCAGTACTTCTATACAGAGGATGACTTGTTTAAATGTAGATTAAGACATTGATGCAATAGGCTGACCGGCTTAACATTGATGCTAGTATGCGTGAGTTCGAAGTGAGACTAACTGCTTGGGGTGGAGAGCGACGAAAACTATTCTATCATCTGATTGGCTGACAAGCACGAGAAAGGGAGAGAAGACTAGTCAACTGGAACACTACTCGATTTATTCCCAATTCCGATCTGGATCACGAATCATAAATTAGTGTAGAAGATAGATGACCAACCTGACAACAACGTACAATAATTAGGAAACTACAATTATGTTCAAAAGTGGGGATTAGAGTAGAAAGTAGAATACAAAATATTATGTTTAAATTACAATAGCTTTGGAACCGAGGAGGCTATGGCATTGAGTCATACATCGAACGAAAGCTTATGATGTGTAGAATAGACTAGTGATAAAAATAAATGCTACTGTTTTACAAGAATTGAATGAAATGAAATAACGTGCCCAAACATAGCTTCCATAGTTTATCATAGCTTCTTGTTTCTCTATTCATATCAATAGATAATTCATGATTTACCTCATGGACAACTGTTCTTACGAACTTATTTACTTAATTACTTACTTACGCATGTTTCTCCTAATGGAGCCGACCAGCATTCTCTAACTCACTCTCTCCTGAGCCTTCCTTTCTACGTTCTTATCAAATAGGATACATATTCCACATAGATGATCTTCGTATACTCAAAATGTTATTTTCACTTAGTTTTCAGTAAATAATCCACTTGGTAATTTTGTACAGTCATTTATTTGGTTTACAATGATTCTTCTTTTAATACAGCCAATGGAGACATTTTTCAAAGAACGTTTTATGACCTACTGTGATCATCGTTTAAATATTCCATTAGGTAGGTTCGCTAAAGTTTACAATAGTTGTATATTAAAATACATGAGCCTTAACTCATTCAGTCAATAAGTCACAAGGTAGAACTTCGTACGTACGTACATCAGTTCAAGTTGGTATACCACATTAGCACAGTGATACAATTGTCGATTCAAATCCCATAGTAGTAGAGCTAGTAAATGTATAAGCAGTAATGGGAAAGATTAGGATTTGAAGATGTCATTCAAGGAGTATAATTCAGTGAAATAAATTTGCGAAGAGGAGAAAAACGGGGACATGAAGAATTCAGAAGATTAGAATTTGAGAGAACACAAAGAGCGGATGGACCTGAACCATGGCAAACGATTTTGAGCCATATCATTCAAGGTCTCTAACCATCGCTTGTTATCGTCTAGCGGATTCCCGGAACCAGGTAGTCTACACCTAATAACATTGTTCATTCCACTTGCCATTGACCTATTGAATTTGTGCCATATTTTGGTCTGGCCGACCCTAGCTTTCTTCCAACCTATTTGTACACCATAGAACATCGCCGGTCGTGGCAGTCGGTGATTGGACATACGTAACACACGTTCTAGGCATCTAGTTAAGTCTTAACTGTTTGTTGTTAGTTTACAAAACAATTCAGGTCATTCCAACAGATCGTATAACATTCATATCAATGTATGTGGTTCATGAAGTATATGTAAGCTAACAACCATATTGGTTGATATAGGGAAAATGCTATATGATATTTTAACTGTACTTGTTATTATTGAGAACACAAGTGGGGATAATGGAATATATTTGAACCCAAAATTACAGTACATCTTAGTAAAATCTGAGGATCATTCAGTACTTACTTCATTTGAAAAATGTCAATCAATTGTTTCAGAGTTGGTTGTTCCTTCTGCAAATATCCGTCAAAGGTCTCATAATTCATTGTTCCTGCATTTCTATAGCAATTGCTTTGTTTTCCCGTTCTTTCCTCCTTGATCTTCTTGACTTTCTGCTGCCAGATATTATATTCTTCACTAGCGTTATATACTATTTATGTCGATATAAGTATCACATATTACATACTTTAAACTAATATAAAAATATATAGTGAAAGAGAATACAGGCTGGTACAACAAAATATAATTTAGTACAACATTCCTGAACATCTTATTAAAGTCTGAGAACCATACAATAAATGCTTTAATTGCACAATACCCAACAATTGTCTCAGACTTTGTTGTCCCTTCATTTCCATAACAATTACTCTCTGTGTCTTGTTCTCTTTTTTCTATCTCATCAACCTTTTGGTACCAGATATTCCACTTTCGATTGATGATACATAATATCTCTATCTGTTGATATCAGTAGTACACACCACAACTGAAATATTTTTGTCTTCATAATTAAAACTGTTAGTTGGATTTAAGCGAATTACATAAGAAACGGTTATAAGTTAAATAAAAGCTGTATGAAAAATAAATAAAACGAAAGGGGACATTTTCAAAATCGATGAACTGAAATAGTTACGATAATAACAATGACAATAATAATAATAGTTTGTTGTCACGATAACGAAAAGCATAAGACATAATACTTTACCACTCAAGTTTGGGTTTAATGTCAGGGATAGCTAGAGTTTCAGATGCCTTGGATATTTTTAGACAATAAAGTTTTGATACATTTGATTGGATCCTGCAACACTTACTAGCATTTATTGGCTATGTCCTTTTTTATGAGGTAGTTAACCTACTCCCACCCTCGCCTTTAGCGAAGCTTCAGGCTACTAGTAACTCTATCGGCATTTTGAGTGGATTCTATGAACAGTGTGCGTCACTTGAATTATTGAATGTTCATTTTCTTTCTTGGTCTCTTCACAGTTATGTAGGGGCAGTTTTAACAAACATATGCAGAAATATAATCATTGATAAAACATGAATACCTTCTTTACAATAAGTGAATTTCAAAATTCATCTACATTTCAAAGTCTAAGGACTGTGATACCTAACGGGAATTTTTACGAAATTAATATCTGATGTTTTCGGTGGTTGATTTGAATCGAATTTAATAGTCATTAATTACGATGGAGTACAATTTTAGACCACTTTTCGTTTCAGTTCTCATATATTTGTTCATTATTCACAAATAAACCTGTTTATAGGAAATAGAAATCCGTAAACATAAGGAAACAGACAATAGATATTGATCTCTTCTAACACATTAAATTTGTAAGATTACGTAATGTGTTGATATGATTTCTGGAACATGTATTACATTTCTCAGAGTTCTAGTGAGAATCAGTGACTAGTGCAGTTCAACCGGGTCTGTTGTGAGGTAGAAACTCATTGAAGACAATGGTGGACGGCGGCTCAATTTCATTAATTAATTGAAGTTAGTCAATAATACCGTTGGATGCAAACCAGCTCAATCGTCTAGAGGTTAAGCGTTCGTGCGCGAGACTGATAGGTCGTGGGTTGGAATCTCACTAGTCGGGATCGTGGATGCATACTGCTGAGAAGTCCCATAATTCCAGGTTTCCCATAGTGGTTTAGCTTTAGTTAACTCATGATCTCAACTATTAAAATTCCCATAATATCTACAAAACTCTTTCTGATACATTACACTCAATTGAAATTGTTAATAATAAAAACGATCATTTATTTTGTTTGTTTTGTGTTTATGTTAGCACAAAGAGGAAATATGTTTGGTCAAGCTTTTGGGAATAAATCGATATGCATTCCACATATGGGAGCTTGGAGAGCTGAAATGAATGGAAAATTAACACAAGATCCTCGAGTTAAAGCAACTTGTCATGATGTAAGTTTAAAAAAGAACTATTATCTATAATTCCATAAAGATTCCACTAAAATCCAAATTAAATTTATGAATTACATTCTATGACTAAGATGAAATGATACACACTAATACAGTTTTAGAATAATCAGTAAGAAACGTATAGATTATGATGAAGTGGACAACCTCATTACTTACTTCACTCTTTGATTTGTTTTACAGTATAAGCAATACATTCAGTCAGTCTTCATTATTTGTTACCTCCTTGAAACAGTATCTATGTGTTAAAATAAAAAAATATAAAAGTTACTGACTGACATATTAATAGCCAATGGTTATCCATTAAAGTCTATTAATATGTGCAAAAGTTAGTTCATACCAAAACCTCTTATGTATTCAGTTCCAAAGAAGAAAATTTTATAACTATTTACCATATAGAGGTGAATTCATTATTTTAGTTTTAAGACAGAGATTGAAAGCAGTCATCGAGAAAAACCTATTATACTGCTCAATTGGTTGTGATTGAAAAATTTTAGCTGATGATTCCAAATAGACTTAGGCAATGCACAAATGATTATGTCACATCCCATTTTATTTAAAAAATTTACATGTTTGTGTAGACACACATAGAGAGAGAGGAGTAATCGAACAATGTAATCAAGGGTCACTGAACATGTGCCTAGCTGACGAGTTCTAAATTGGACGAAACACGCGTCTTGGATTCCATTGCCAGCCACTATCCATCTTTGCTTAAAACGCTTGTGATTTAAGGCTTTATCAAAGCAGTCTGCACAGGATGCATATTTGCCAATAAGAGATTGATGATCAGTTGCAGACCATAACAACAATAGGAAGATACAAGTAAAACAACACCAAGTGATTTGTAATTAGATTATTCTCTCTCTCTCTCTCTCCACACACAAACCTCATGTTGACCATATTTATTCTGATCATTATTTATCTCACAATTTCATTTCACTTATAAACTGATTCAAGTTAACAACTTCATATTAGTCACCCAAACAATTCTTAATTCACCTATTACAATTTTAAATGATGTACTCTTCCGTCAACCTGACCAATTTTATGGATAATTAATTGGGATATGAGATAATTGTGAAGTATCTGATGTGAAATTCATTGAAATGAATATTCTACTCATTCATATTAATTGTGTTTTGCATACGATGGGAATTTCTTCAGAGATTATAAAACTTTATTAATGATTATCTTCCTATCCCATCTATTCATGATATTTATTTATTTGAACATGGTACAAGGAGGCACCAAATACATATGCGCCCCATGGATCTCATTTGATTTGTGTGAGGGACAGGATACTGCCCGGGTGCCCAAACCGAAACAAGTGGTTTTCTTATGGGTACACACCAGGAGCCTTCGACCTAAAGGTCTGATCCACAAGGCAGTGGAACATTGTAAGGAGATGCAGTCCCATGGTAGCCGGTGACCAACGTTTGGTTCCTACGTCATTTGTTCCCTCAGGATACTGGAGCCCATACGCAACATAGGTTTGAAACCAGGGTCTTCCAACTCCCCTAGGTGGACTCTCCATGTCCACTAACCCGGTTAAAGCGCCGGACATTCGGTTTTGTCCTCTCTCAACACCTACGCCACGAGAAGGCAGTGAGTAGGACTTTCCTGGCAGAGGCTATATACGCGTGGCCATGTGAGAGCATTTCGAGAGGGAGAGCGGACTGTCCTCACTCTCGGTCGTACCAGGGCATTCGGGGCATCTATTTATGAACATGATTAGAATTAGTAATTAGTTTTAAAAAAAATTGATTAAAATTAACTCGATATCCATGGCGAACGTCTTCAACAGTAGCACTGTATTATTGATTTCATGTGTGTGCTCATGATGACTAGATGCTAGATGACTTCAAAACCACTTAGTGTCAAGTGATCCGAATATCATTAAAGGAACGGCCGTTTTTTGTGTTTTTTTCATCCTTTATGAAAAAAATTTCCATCTGATTTTCCAAGATTTTTCATTCTATTTCATCCAATTAAATTCGTTATAATTGGTTATTTATTTCTTAAAATTGATGTAAAATGTCAATATTTGTCGACAGAGCATATTTTCTTCAAATTATGGACCATAGTAAATTATGAAGTACAAGCTGGGAACTTCTGAAAGGACTTCCATGAACACTCAATGTCCGGCCTTTATTTTTGTAAGTTTATTGAAGGCTACTGGACTGTTGTTCGTGTTAAAGTTCATCACAATCACGAGTGCACTTCCTGGGGGTACGACAGTAATTCTTGGATGCACAGGTTAATGGGGAATGAATTTGAAACAGTTGGGACAGCAGCATTCAATATTATGCATTTCGTTTACCAATCTTATGGAAAGCGTCCAGTCAAATGCTTTTCGACCTGCAGCGACCCTCCTGAAACAAAGTAATACAAACTTTGTTGAGACATCTCTTTGAATTCTGAGGCTGTATACGCTGAATAGAAAAACACCTGTATTGAGATCTATATTTAGTATTCTTCTTCGCATTGGATGCTGGATGAAAGCGCAAGTCCAGAAATACTCATCTGATTGTCGTAACAAAATAATTATCGGTTGGGAGACACAAATAAGTCGTCTTCAGGAGAGACTTACACCAGCTGCATGTCAACTACTGGTGGACTTGTTCAGGGCTGTTAACGCTACAGACCTAAACAATGCACATATGATTACGTCACATCCCAATGCATTTACATTTTTACATATTTGTGTGGACATATACATAGGGGGAGTATTCGAACAATGCAATCATTCAACATGTGCCTAGATGGCTTCAAAACCAATTTGTGTCAAATTATCCAATCAACGTGAGAGGTAGAAAGCCATGTTCATCGATAGTGAAACATATAATTGAAACGGGGCACAAAATTGACAATAATACAGCTTTTAAAACGTTGTATAGACATTGTCAAGGACGAATTCTCAAGTTTGTTGAAGTCTTGGCTATTCGTAAATTTACCCCTCCCCATATTTTTACAAAGACAATTTGTCGTAACCATGAATTTACCGTGGTAATCCTTAAGTCATTCTATTACCTATGTATGAACAGATTGTTCGAAATGTATAGCGCAAATACGTCACATTTTCATCAGATCAACTCCGTCTTCTCATTGTTCTATCAAAATTTATAAAATGGACTAATTGCTATAAAAATGGACATTAGTCACATTACATCACCATATTATAGAATTGATTATTAACTAGTCGACCAGGGTAAAATGAGCAGTCGAACATATTTTTTTTGGATACAAAGTTCCGGCTTTTTGATTCCAATAGCCATTACTTAAGCCTTCTGTAAGATTCTCAGTGTGACGGAAGTAGGTAGACTGCTGTTAACACAATATATGATAGTGAATGATTGCTTCATGTTGGCTGTATGTCCCGTCTGAATTAAATGGGCTAAAATGAAGCTGTTAACTGTTTTAACTACACCTTGGCTTAACCACACTGGAATGTGTTCACGATCCCGAATATACAAATTCCTAGAACATCTGTCAATATAACTTACTCCACAGGAGCAGTTGAATTAATAGATACAGAAAGAAGTGGTTAACCTAGGCAATTTATCTTTCAATGTCGGAGTGATTATTGAGCATATGGAAAACACTAGTTGTAGTTTGCCTGTATTAAAAAGTTCTCTGAATTCATCCAACCAAGCATTTCTTGAATAGGAGTTTTATATTGTTTTGGTAATCTGAGATTAAGTATTATAACAATAGAATATACAATTTTCTGTTATGTAGATTCTAATCAAATCCTTACAATCTAGAAATTAGTGATGGTGGTTATAAGTAATAGTCACTGTTTCACTAAACAATTCATTAGTTATATAGACATTAACATGAATGCTGGATACATTCGTTCTCATCAGAATAGCTTTAAATCTAAAGTGATTAGATGCATTGAATTCTTTACTCTATAAGTCGTTCGATTTGAGTCATGTCAAAGATCGATACTGAACAAGCATATAGACAGATCAAGTGGATTATAGAATATTACTTACTTACTTACTTAATTATTTACGCCTGTTACTCCCAATGGAGCATAGGCCGTTGACTTCGTCCTCTCGATCGTATATATATATACAATAGAGTGAACAGTCTACATTACTCAGCATTATTCTTAATGGATTAAACCTGATAAACTTCTATCGAAGTATATTCATATGATAATCTGCTTTCTGCAAAATTTATTTTGATATTTTTCAGTACAAATGTTCACGTACTGTTCAAATCGTCGTTGATGGTGAAACGTTTCCATGTATTTCTGGTATAGCCAAAATAAAAACTAGGCGAATTGACGGAAATGCAATCTGCCCTGATATGAATGATGTTTGCAGAGTAAGCGTAGTATATGTTGTAAATAATTATGCTAGTGATATATTATCCCATTTTCTGGCATCTCGTCTCTCTCTCCCCTCTCTCTCTCTCTCTCTCTATATATATATATATATATATATATATATATATATATTCAAATCATTCACTATGTTCACTAGTCTTAACGATCGTGTTATTTGTGGGGTTAGATTTTCAAACTGACATCTAAGTGTCTCTATCTGACGAGTTAGAAATTGGGTGAAACGCGTGTTTGGTATTCCGCTAGTAGATAAAATATGTAATTATAAAATCTTATCTACAGTAGAGAGTTGTGGAGATTGTTGAATTTCATTGAAATCATGAAACAATCAATGTTGAATTTACATGTTAAAACCATCGGATTAGGACTCAGTGGTCTAAAGGTCAATTAGTATTCAGTAACCGAAGATCCTAAGTTCCGAGTGCCGTGTGCGAGATTTTGAACGTGCACTGATCAGTAGTTACATGTTAGCACGAAATAGCAGTCCACTTCTCCCAACATTTCAATGGTAATCTAACGTTGATTCGTCGATAGGTTCAATGGATAGAACTTTCTGGCAGAATAATAATATTGAGACGATTTGTACAGAATGCAGACAAATTAACAAGATTAAATGATGGTCAGTTTCTGTGGACTGTTAATGGACTAATATTGCATATATATATTCTTATTGCATAACTATTCAGTAATTAGATTATGTGTATTTATATTCCTCTTATTATAAGCTTCATTTGACCTATAGATTATTATGATACAATTTATAGTTCTTCAGTTATGTTCAGTTTATTAATTACAGTCTGCCACTTTTACAGCCGCTTTTAGATCCACCTCGTACAAATGTTATTTCTTATTTTACGGTGTGATATGGTCTGTTTGGCTGGTATATCAACCCAGTATGTTTGAAATAAATGATTCGTATAATGGAAGCTGGTATTGGTGTCCTCTGGACTCCACTGATCAGATTAAGAGGAAATTGAATCAATAAAGATGCTAGACTGCTCCATACTGGTCGAACGTCGAACATCAGAATTAAAGTGACAACAGGGTATCTTACTAATTTCTTATAGAATAATTGATCAATTCAATAAACTTTTCAATGAGCAATCTCATCACTTATCTCTTTAATTTACTTTACAATTTAGGCATACAGAAAATGAACAATCCAACAACTCATCTATTAAGAACCAATAACTATGGATATCTAATACATTTTAATTACTTTCATTAATAATTATGTTCAATGAATTAGTTCATTCATTAACTCTATTCAATGTTTATGTATCATTTATTACCAATAAATAAATAAATATATATATATATATATGTTATAATGAATAACTTTTGATGAATTCCAAAAGAAAAACGAAACATTTGAACAGAATAATGTTAATGTTATCAATAGTAGTAATAATAGGAAACATATTGAGGAAAGCATCCAATTGCATCAAAAGGCAAGCCTTCATTTGGGATCCTTAAGATCAAAAGAGAAGATGATCAACAAAGAATACATTACATCGAGAAATGGAGTCAGATATGAGAATAATGAACAAGAATTGGGTAGAACTTGACAGGAAGGTCATGGGACAAAGTGAGTTGGAGAGTGCTGTTCGGTGGCCTATGATCTATTGGGAGTAAGAAGCGTAAGTAATAATTATGAGGAAAAGTACCAAGGTTTGATTAGATAAATTCAAGTGAATTTAATCACATGACATTAGCAATTTAGTGGCTTGGCTTCGTTTATCAATCATCTTGATAACCGTTGTTAAATAAATCTAAACGTTGCATGAATTCTGAGGTTAACAAGAAGCGGTGATTACAGTTTGTTGACGGATAGTACAGATAACAAAATTACAAGCATACCGAGGTAAGTAGGAACAGAAAGGATAATTTATGTGTTAGTGAGTGAATATAGAGATGAGTACAGGTGAAACAAGACGAGGTAAAGCTAAGGCAATTAAGGAGATTCAAGCATACGTGTTTACACAGACATGATGATAATCATAATGATAGTGCTCTGTGTGTTGTACATTGATCTAACACACTTCGCGTCAACGTTTTTGCGTATTGTTTTATACTACTTATAAATGTATTTAGTAAATTGTTGTATTGCCAATAATTTCCAGGCTTATGCTGTAACTCAAGTTTGTCGTTGAATATTCTGAAATATTTGCATGTACTTATAACGTTTACTGTATCTATCATTGTATTGATCATTATTATTACTTCACCTCAATAATTGTAGCAGTTATCTACAGTCATGTGCATTTGTTTAACCTTCATTCAAACACAATGGTTTCCATATTGTTTTGTGCTTGATTCGGATTTTGCTTGTTAATTAACTGTTATCATGTTTAGACACAGCTATCAACTGTCTTTTGCACTATCGAAGCCCCTTTTATTTCATACATAAGGACGCGTTAAACGCCGCAAACACCTCACAAGTTGAGGTTTGTAACCAATGTTTGTGTATTATTTAATAAAGAACCTCTATTTTAGATAAATCGTTGTTTTGCGTACTTCAGTTTTGCGTGTATCTCACTTGGGTGATCTGGATGCTTCGATAGGTCTAACAGATACAAAGGAATAGACAAATTGTTGCTCTTTGAATAACGCTGTCAGTTAGTTAGGTTAAATGAAGTGCTTGACAAAAATTAACCGTAAGCAAAATTAATTGTCGGAGGGTTGTTATAGCATGATCAAAGTTGATTGCATACATTGAATAACAGATCAGATATGTTCCCAGTGCCATTTAAAATCGTCTTAATTTAAATCAAAAGAGACATAACATATCAACGAACATTATTCCATCCAATGACGCTTTCATCATGCCTTGTTCTAACGTACAGTCATATTTATATACATATAAGCGAAAGATAAACTAGCTAGGGCAACTCATGAGTCAATAATGCACGATTTATAAAGGATCAGAAAAGCCGATACGTTTTTTTGTTTTATTACACTTGATTGATGGTGACATTGTGGTGAATACAATTAAATCATTCTGAGTGATCTAATTCAGTTATTCACAGTTCCCTATCACTGTCCGATGTCGTCTGTTATAAATCATATTTAATAGAGGTTTGAGCCACCTCCTTCCACCTGTATTGTATGCTGATGATATTACTTAGAAGAACAATGAAAGCTCAATGATCAAACCATCCAGATCACAGAACAAAACTCCATCTAAATTATTTTTCACCCACTTCTGAATATATGGTTTTCATGCTCTATTAAGTCGACTTTCCTAAATGTTGATGTACATCATATGTCGAAATATTTGTTCAAACCATATGTGTGAGAACTATAGAGCCAACATTCTTCTTACAATATTAGAAAAAGTTTTCAACAGCTTGTTTTTAAACACAATGAGGGACTTCGTAGACGCCAAACTTTGAGACTGACAGACTGGATTCCGTAAGAATCTATCGAAACGGATAATTATGGAACCATCAATTGAATGGATTTCATCACTCTACATCAAATTCATTGACTACGATAAAGCATTTGATAGCGTGAACAGGACAACGCTATGTAGACGTCTTTGTCAATATCATACGGAATTAAACTGCAAAATCGTGCATAGAGGACAGTTACAAGCAGTCATTCTTAGTGGGCCTACAGTGAATATCAATAACAGGAAAGGAAATCACATATTTGGTAGTCAGTAAGTTGAGTGCCTGTTTGTTCACACAGTGACCAATCACACTTGAAATCACCATCACACATTATATGGGAAAGCCTGATAAAGAACCATCCTAAATTTAACAAAGATAATTGGTAATTTGAAAAGCATATATCAATTCCTTAAGAAGTGACTATCTTCAGTCACTATCTTATCTCAACGTAGTGTACGCAATGTCGAGTCATCTAGACTGGTAGCCACATTGCAACTTAGACGATAGAATCTAATCTTCACTAAGACGGACCTGACATGCATGACATTGTTCGCCACCGAGTGATCTTTTCTGTTTTAAAAATATGTGCTTTGGTACGTACATGCATACTCGAAGAGAATTATAGGTAACATGATGAGATTACAAGAAGTCGCCAGTTTCAACTAGCTATCCATTTGATATAGATTACCTTATTCGGCCTCATTTTGTGTCTAAATTAAATAAACCCGTTTATCCGATCACTTTTAAGGCCAATTCTTAAGAAGACAATTCTTTATTCAACTGTAGTGTCCTTCATTCTAATCTTATCATACTGACTGATGGATTTTTGTGGATTTATTGATTATGAAACCGTGATAATGCATAAGACTCATGAAATGCGATACATTTTAGATGTGTAAGGGAAAATATTGAATGGTAGAATTATGTTTAAATACTAATTTAATGTCAGTGGTTTTCGACATCATGACAAAACAAGAGATTCTTCTAGTTATTCCAGCTAACATATGAATCATGTAAGTAGGTCAGTCATGCATTAAAGGCATATGCATTTAATAGGGTTATTCTATGAAAAACTGTGATCAACTGAGAACAAAGTGACCTCATCATTTAACTATTTTCTTCATACACATTATACTACTTTATACATATTCAGTAACTAATTTTATTTTCAATCATTTTCAAGTGTTTCATAGTTTATGATACCGCTTAAATGTAGAAAGATTTCTCAGAGTGACTGTGACTAGAGCGAATTGTTCCATTGTCATCTCTGTCTTAACGTTAAATACATAGTGAGTGAGAATGAGGAAAGACATGTTGTCTTTGGTAAGGCGGTGTTAATTCTGTTTTACATTCTCGATCCTTATTCACTTCACCTCAGTTCTTTTGCTTATTACTTTATACTACTTATTATTATTCAGTAAATCGTCGTATTCTCAACATGATTGTCGTTTAATATTCTGAAATATTTACATGTACTTATAACGTTTACTGTATCTATCATTGTATTGATCATTATAATTACTTTACTTCAATAATTGTAGCAGTTATCTACAGTCATGTGCATTTGTTCAACCTTTGTTCAAACTCAACGGTTTCCATATTGTTTTGCGCTTGATTCGGATTTTGCTTGTTAATAAACTGTTGTCATGTTTAGACACAGCTGTCAACTATCGTTTGCACTGTCGAAACCCCTTTCTATTTCATTAAAAAAGATGTGTTAAACGCCGCATACACCTCACAAGTTGAGAACTGCTATTTTAGACAATCGTTGTTTTGCGAACTTCGGTTTTGCGTGTATCTGACTTGGGTAGCCTGGACGCTTTGATAAACCTAACGGTTAGTTATTTTAAATTTTACATTGTATTTTAAAAGAGGAACATTGGTTAAATAGGCTGATAAAATTTGTTTCTATATGTCTGCTGTCCGTACATTTAAATGTAGTTGAATCGGTCAGGGTGAATCAGTTCTGTTAAGATTACAGATACACCTTTCTAACCAACGCCAAAGTGTAAGAATCTCGTGTCCAGGATTTCCAATCGACTACCTCGAAACACCATCTTTCATTCCAACGTTGTTCACGAGAATTCCATTCATTTAAACAAGTGGCCACATTACAACTTCATTCATAGAATTCAATCAGCACTAGGAATGTATTGGCAAACATAATATTGAAGATCACTCATTAAACAATCACAGTTAATTTGATTTGATGGTCGATTTCACCCAGTATCATGGATGCAGATCAGCTACAGACAATGTAAACTTATAATTCTTCATATTATTAAATAACAACTGTTTGACATTCTTTAGTTCGGGATGCTTATGTTATATCCAGACGTTTGATTCTTGATACACTGAGTACAACAATCGCTGTCAAATATGGTACAAAACTCTTAAGTACTTTTTTCAAGTAAAGGTGTAATCATCATTATAGTCATCCGATTCACATACAGGGTTTTTTGAGCATTTGTCCAATAGGGAAGCTACACTTAGAGATTTTGGAATATTCTTCCAAAAGATGATTGGATGGAATATCTTCGGCTCTTTCTGAGCTTCTTAGAGCTTCCTTGAGTTCACCCGTAGGCCATCCTCACAGTTTTAACAGATGTTCAAAATATAACCGAAATTGTGATACTAAGAGGAATAGGACAAGAAGTGTATGATGAATGTGTGTTTATCAATTAGAACGTAGAAATACCAAGTATCACAGGTATAATACTGTCTAGTAATCATAATCAAGATGAAAGAGGTTATGTCAAGGTAGCGAAGTTATTAATTGACCGAATGATCACTCGACATTATAAGAAACCGACCTATCGAATAACCTTGTATCGATTTATATAAGAACCATTCATATTTGAATA